CGAATGTCGCATGAGGGCATGAAAAGAGGCAATGATGAGTAGTTTCTGACGGATCCTCACAGATCGGGAAACAGGTGGAAGGGGAGCAGCGGCGAGACTGGAGATTGTGTCGGGTGGCCAGAGCCCCTCTGGACACTCGCCAAATGAAAATTTTCAATTTTAGAGGCAGGGAGAGACTCCAGAGCCATTTCCATCTTTCTTTGTTTGACTCTGGGATCTCGATTTCTTCCCCTGTGCTCTACGATCAAGGAGATGAAAGTGGTGGAAAGCCGATTTGACAGTGAAGTTTCCTTGGTCTGTGAATCTCCAGGCCCAGTAGTCATTCATGGTGCTCAGGCCGATCGGAGAACCAGACACGAAATTAAGCTCTTCTGGACTGAGAAACTCATTGAGGATGTCAAACCTCCATTCACGAGACAGAGGGTCGATCCAATCAGCCACCCTTGAGTTATCCGGCGTCGGCTGCTCTCGAAGGGGACCAGATCTGACAAACAGCCAAGGATCCTGAAACATGCTGGTATCTCTTCCATTGCCAATGACTTTAATAATGCCTTTTTCCATCCACTTCCTTGCCTCCCAAATACCAGACCAGATCCGTGAGGCCTTACTTCCTTTTCTAGCTTTAGTGAAATCCACCCGGGGGAAGTAGAGAGCCTTCAAAACCCTGACCCAGAGTGCATCCGGGTTAGTGATAATACGCCAGGCTTTCTTAGCAAGCAAGGCAAGGTTAAAGATATGGAAAGGCCTAAACCCAAGGCCCCCTTCTAATTTTTTTTGCGTACAGGACCCTCCCTGCCCTCCAGTGAATAGACTTCTTTGAGATAGATCCGCTCCAGAAGAAACGCTTGAGAAGTGTATCCATTCTTGAAGTGATTGAACGTGGGAGGAGGAAGAGGCACATTAGGAAGGAAGGAATGGCTTGGAACACTACTTTGAGTAGTGTTTCCTTTCCTCCTGGCGACAATAACAAGCTTTTCCACGCCTCCCCTTGTTTCTCCAGTCGTTGAATGAGAAACTGAAAAGTTTCCTTCTTTGATCTTCCCCATTCAGTTGGGACCCCCAGGTACTTCGAATGTGTACTCGATCCTTCGAAACAAATAGCTTGAAGGAGGACCTCCTTTTCCTCTGCGGGCACATATTTGCTAAAAAAAACCGACGACTTCTCCCTGTTAACTTCCTGTCCGGTGATAGCACCATAGTCATCCAGAATCTGCAGAATATTCTGAGCCTCAGCAATCGAGGCCTCTTCAAAAATGACCGTGTCATCCGCAAAAAGGCAATGGGTGAGAGTGGGACAGTGTCTGTTGAGTTTGAGTCCTCTGATGTGCTGTTGTTGAACTGCTTTCTCAATGAGGAAAGACAAGGCATTTGACATGAGAATGAAGAGGAGGGGGGAGAGAGTATCCCCTTGTCGAATTCCTATGGACGGGGTGAACGCAGTTGAGGGTTCTCCGTTGAAAAGAATGTTGAACTTCACCGTGGAAACGCACACTTTAACCCAACGACACTAGGTAACATTGAATCCATAGGCTTTCACAAGATCCAAGAGGAAGTCCCATTCCACCAGGTCGTAGGCCTTTCGCATGTCCAGCTTCATCATCATCTCCTTGTGGCTTCCGGATCTGTTCTTTTTGAAGTGGTTAAGAACTTCATGAACGATGATGATGTTGTCCTGAATTTGACGCCCCCCAGTGAAAGCCGATTGTAATTCATTGACCAGCCCCGGAAGCCATGGTTGAAGTCCGTTAGTCATGATCTTGGAGATGACTTTATATTTGTAATTACAACAGCTGATGGGGCGGAACTGGCCAACAGTCTCTGGGGTGTCCACCTTGGGGATGAAGGTGATAAAAGTATGTTCCAAGATTCTGGCATGCTACTTGTTCTGAAGAAGCCGATAATTTCTTCACAGAACCTTTCCCCGATCAGGTTCCAGAATCTCCTGAAGAAGAACCCTGGATAGCCATCTGCTCCAGGGGCCTTATTTCCCCGGAGCTGGAAAACGGCCTTTCGAATTTCAGCTGGTTGCAGATCAGCTATGAGGGCTGCATTAATCTGCTCTGAGACGAGAGGTGGGAATCCTTCAAGAAGAGAATGATCAAAAGAACCTCCCTTAGTGGTGAACAGGTCACGATAGAACCCATTAACATGATCCTCCAGCTCATGAGCATCATCAAGCCACACCCTATCAAAATTCAAAAGCTTAAGAATCCTGTTTTTGCTCCTCCTTTTGACAGTACTGGCAAGGAAGAAGCCCGTGTTTTTGGTCCCCTTCCTTGAGCCAACTATTTCTTGACCTTTGTGCCCAGAATTCCTCCTCTGGTTTCCAAATTGTACCCAGCTCAAGATTAAGCCTTTTCTCTTCGTTAATCATTTCAGTGGTTCTGTTAGGGCCTTGTACCTCTTGGATCCTAGCTTTAATCTTAGCTTCCCTCCTATTCTTGTTGTTGTGGTAAGTCTGTGCCCAGCTCTGGAGCTCCTTCTGCCATCCTTTCATGATATCGGAAATCTGGCCCCCCTATTCCAACTGTTTGCAATAATATTACAGCATTCATCATTCTCCTTCCATCTCTTATCGAACCGGAAAGGGGTATGTCTGGCTTGATGCTTGGGATGTAAGTCGACTCTGATCGGGCAGTGATCCGAATCGACAAAATCCTCATGGAACACCACAGCTGAGTCAAAGCTCAGTCTCCAGGAAGGGGAACAGAGCGCTCGGTCCAATCTTTCCCTAATAAGATTGTTGCCTTGTTGCTTGTTGGTCCAGGTGAAGGGGAGACCCGAGAACCCAAGGTCCATGAGAGCATTCTGATCAATGAAATATTTAAACGGGGCCACATTTTCATTCCTGAGGGGGCAGCGCCCCTGCTTCTCAAAAGGGTACAAAGCTACATTTAAATCTCCCAAAACCAACCACCTTTCATCCTGGGCATTCCTAAGGGTAGTAAGCCGATCCCAGAGTGCTCTTCTCTCCGCCGCCGTGGTCGGAGCATGGATGAAGGTGCAAAAAAAGTGATCCCATCTCTACTAATACTAGTGTCCATAAAGGACTTACAAGAGTCAAGAACACACACATCAACATCATTCTTCCACCAGAGCGCCAATCCACTACCTTCTACTGTAGGGGTGACATATTCGGAATGATCAAGCCTCAGTGCTCTCATTTTGTCATCCATGAACTGGTCATCCTTCTTGGTTTCCATGAGAAAAACCACTGAGGGGCCAAATTTTTGGCAAAACCTGCCACAGTAACTCCTTGTAAGGGGCTGGCCATGCCTCTTACAATTCCAGCTGATGATCCTCATGGTTGCATTGGCGGCTTGAGGCCTGCCGCCGTCGCCTTTGGGGAACTAGACTCCCCTTCTCAGCCGGCATTGCAAGCAAATAGAGAGCCCCCCGCCCCAGATTGGTTTCCCTCCTCATTGATATCATTGATGCTTCTCCTTTTGATAGTGTGTCTCTTCCTAGCATACCTCCTTAGATCACCACCTGCCGTGAAAGACAAATTATCAACAGAAAGGTTAGTATTGAACACTTGCTGCGGGGATGATTCTGAATGGGTCACCCAGTGCTCAGGTTTCCTCTTCTTCTTAGGTCTGGGGCTGGGTTCCTCCGGAACCAATGGACTCTCAATTGAGTTTGTCATCGGCAGGAGTTGGGCCTGCTGGGCTCTGAGGTCGGAAGGTTGATTATAACCCCCTTGGGCCAGGCCCGTTCCGAGGTCTGAAAGATGATTAAGTCCCCCTTGAGCCAGGCCCAAGTCCTGAAGGGTTATGGTTGGGCTGGCCAGAGTCAGGTCCTGGCCCATCTCCATATACCCAGTCTGCTTCCCCCTACTTTCATGTCTGCCAGAAAGATCCATTCCCCTCTGCATCGCAGCTGCCGCCATCTCCACTTGCAATATTGCCACTTGAGACAGGTTAGTAGGGTGGCTCCCCTCTCCTCTGTGTATCCAATCTCCTCCTCTCATCATCCCTGGGTTATCCATAGGCATGGCTATGAAACCAAGGGGGCAGGATGCTGAGTTCTGCACTGGGTGTCCCACCAGGGCCAGAAAGGACGATTCACCTTGGGATACTGGACTGCGGTGGGCCCTTTGCTCGGGATACGAGATCTGCCTCGCCCTTGACTGTTTCTCCCGGAAGGACGCCGTGGGAATGTTTCGGTGAATCATGCCCCGCCTTCAGTGTCGCCGTGTAAACTTCCGATGGATCGGTACACAATCCCCTTCTTCGACAGTCCTCTCTCTCGAGGCAGTTTTGGATAAGGTGTCCCAATCTGCCACAGAAGTAGCAGAGGTCCACTATCCTCTCATATTTGAAACTAACCCATGTTGATCTTTCTCCCAGTGGGTATTCAAACCCGATTGGGATGGGTTTATCGAGTTGGACTTCCACTTTAGCTCTGACGAACTTCAACCATCCTCTAAATTCAAAGTTTGAATGGCCGATACCGTGGTACTATGGGAAAATTAACTCCGAGACAGCTTGGATGGATTCCTTGTCATTTAAATCCAATCCATTTGATCCAAATCCAATTGGATTCATGGATTCATGGATTGATCCATGGATCCAAATGGCAAATTACGGTTTGGTACCTATAATTTTTATATTATGCATTTTGGTACACACAAATTAATCTTTTATACAAAAAATATCATTGGAAAATTATGTTTTGGTACCTAATATTTTTCTTTGTGACATTTTAGTACCTAAACTTTTCACATTTCACATATTGGTCCTTGGTTGAGGATGTCATTTGGATTCATGGATAATCCACCAATCCACTTGATCCAATCCATGAATCCACCAATCCATTGGATCCAATCCATTTGATACATGGATCTACCAATCCAATCCACCAATCCATTGATCAATCCATTTGCCACCTCTAGTTGGTTGGGACTCTGCATGACAGGTTCATCCCTTCATCACCATCCATGGACCATTGTCACAATATTAGTTCATCTCTTTCCAGCTCATGTTATATTTCCCCCCTTTCGTTTCCGATATCTTTCATTTTAGGTCAGGTTTGGCTTCAGCTATTAAATTATTAGGCTGCAGTCAGATTGTGGGTTTGTTTTAGAGCCCAAGGTTTTGGTGAAATAATGGGGGAGAAGGTTGGGTAGTCATTAACTAAATGATGCACATTCCATATGGTTTTGGGAAACTGTAATTCTAGCTAATATGTGAAGTCCTTGTGGAATAAGGAGACCCACTTTTGATTAGTCGGAATAACAATCTATGCTCATCTTTTACTTCTAATGTAAGGTGTGCTTCAACCCCAAAAGATAGTCACAATTTCTCTTGGGTGATGCCAAATTTACTGCCAGATCAACTCAATTGGGCATTTAGCTTTGGGTAGCCAAATTTAGTATATGGCTATCCCTTCTTCGTGCAGGGTGTAAGCCTGACCCTAGATACTTACTAATCCGACCTGGTCTGGCCCGACCCTGAGGATTGGGCTGGGTCAATTTGTCTATAGAGTCATCTTTTGACTTCAGCTGACTCGCTGAATCATTCTCTGGCCTGCACATTCCATATGGTTTTGGACTTGTCTGTAGTTGACTCGCTGACTCGGCCTGACCCAACCAGCCCGATCCAAGTGGGTCAGACTGGATCAAGTGGAAAATAGGGTCGTACCCGGTTAGTAGTTTGACCCTATATAACCGGGTATTTTAGGGTAATTCTAGGATTAGGGCTGGAGGTGCCCTAGTTTCATCCTCTGAATTCCCTTGGGTGGCCTCCAAATTTACTAAAAGATTTTGTCGCTTTTCTGATTGTATGAATGTTTGGCCTTACAGGTGGTTCTGGAATGGGGCTAGAAGAAAGCCAGCAATTAAACTACTGTTGTACAGAATCTGTGGCCGAAGTGCTGACGACAAAGACAATATACAGCCGACTGCTCTGCTCTTGGCCTTTTGATTGATTCATCTGGTGTCAGTGGTGGCCTGATGATGATGATGATACGCATTGGATACGCTATTCCTTCTTCTGTCAGGTTTTGAGCTGGCGCTTTTATGTTTTTGTCTTGTTGGTTTTTTGTATGTGATGACAGTCGGTCCAGAACAGTCTTCTGTTTCGCTGTCTTCCTTCCTTTTCTTTTCTGATAATAATGCCAGGTACTGCTATCAAGTATTATAGAAGAGATATCCCCTTGTACATAACATAATTATGTCTCATTACCTCATGGAATAGAAAGCTTCACATAACCCTGATTTAGTAGGGCAACATTAGATATATTGATAACCTGTCTTGGGCTACCGATGCAGTATCCGATTAGCACATGTTGACCCGATTAGCACATGTTGACGATGTTCGATTGCCCTTTTGAAAGCTACTTGCGTCGAAATAATATTAGCAAGCGCGGCTGTACTCACAGTTTTCTTGTTATGTACTCATTACGTCCATGGCCTTCGTTGCAAAGACAGCAAGTTTCAAGGGTCCCCCAGAGTTCTGCTGCAATTTGCGCAGTATTATTAGTAGCCATGTGTTCTGTCGATTCTCTCGACCGCTAGAAATCGGATGAGAATCAGAATCAAACCGAATTTGATGAATGTTAGGACGACTTTTATTCAGCCACCAATCAAATGGTCCCCAAAGAAACCAAACTCTACAAATGAATATGTATATTTCATTCTGTGTATTCTGTTCCTAAACTCAACTCCCACCAAACATTGTAATCATCTTAACTAACTATGAACATAAACAAAAAAAAAATGTGACCTTTTTTACTGCAATATAACCTCAGTAGTAGGAAGAAAACTAGGACAGTTTCTGCTAAATCACGAAGGTAAGCCTTTGAGAATGAGGTCCACGGTGGTAAAGATTGATATGGTAAACAGCTTTAGCGACCATCTCCCTCAACTCAGGGTACTGAGCCAGCACCATTCTATCCACTCCTTCCAACGCCGTCAGCACCCGAGCGGGCTCCAACGCCTCGTGATTCCCAGCATTCACAGCCAAGTGGCAGAGCAAGATCAGCGCCCTCAGCTGCGCCCTCTCGCTCCCTCTCAGCAGCTTCATCAGCGCAGGAATGGCGTTGAACTCGATCATCGTCTTGGAATGCGCCTCGCACAGGAAATTCTCCTCGCAGGTGAACTTGGCCAGCGCGATGGCAGCCTCCGCGGCCACTTCCTGGCTCCTGTTGTTCAGATGGTTGACGAGGGGACCGATCACGCGAGTCTCCCTCGCTGGGAACGTCCGAGCCAACGACCCGATCGACTGGAGGGCAGCCACCAGCAGCTTGGGGCTGCTGGATCCTTTGATCACTCTCAACAACTGGTCGACTACGGATTTCGCTGCTGGCGAATTCGTCTTGAATGCACCACGACGGAGATCAGCATTCGACTCCGCGGCAAATGTGATCTCCTTAATCGTCATAAGGCAGTTGAACTGCAGCTCGGGCTCTCCAATCTCCACCAATCTGGCCAGGCAGAGCAGCCCTTTCGTCTCCGTGATTCGCTTGCTGTTCGACACACTCCCTTTCGCCAGCATCCACAGAGCTTCGGCACAGCTCGTCTTCAGCTTCTGCTTCACCTCCCGGCTCTCGTTCTCCCTCTCTTTCCTGGTCCCTCCCCCTTTGCTTCCTCCACCAGCATCGGAATGGAAGCTCGAAAATGAACTCATCACAAATGGCCGATACTGCAGACTATCCCTATCCTTCTCCTTATTATTGTTATTATTGCTTCTCATCTTCACCTCCCCTACTTTCTCCATTTCCTTGTTCATCTGGACTAGAGAATGAATCGATTGCTTGCCAATTTGACCACCGAATTGGTCGTCGGAGAAGGTCTCGAATGACAGCAGAGTGACCAAAGGGCGAATTGCGTTCTCTCTGGCGAAGTTGTCCTGAGCGCCGGGATCGTTCTCCGCCATCACCGCCACCAATCTCGCCACCCAAATCTGAACCCTCATCGGAGAATCGGCGAGTACCTTCACAATTGTCTGGACTCCGGCGGCAGATTCTTCGGAAATCGCCCTGACTCTGTCCCCCTCGTTGCACAAGTAGAGCAGCGCCGCCGCCGCGGCGATTTGTGCCTCGGGGGAATCTTTCTCTTTAATTAGCTTCAAGAACGGTGGCACGCCACCTTCCTCCACTATAATCTGCTTGTTCCTGTCGTTGTCCTTCGCAAGAGAGGCCAATTGATTCGCCGCCTCGATTTTCTCGGCCATGGGCGCCATGTAAATCGAAGTGATCCCAACCCACACCCAAGCAACAATCGGGTCATTGCTGGCGATTGGGGGCAGCGCCATGGCGTTGCCATTCGACTCCAGCATGCTCCACAGCCACGACACGTCTCCGGCGGAAGCTTCCAGATGGACCAGCGCCTTCCGGAAGTCGGCGGCAGAGATCATCGCCACCACGCGGCGGAAGATGTTCCTCCGCCTGCACCGCCGGACCAGGGCCAGCGCCCGGTCAAGATTCCTCGCGGCCTCGGCGGAAATCCGCCGCACGGGCCGCTCGTACACCGCCTGTCCGGGCGTGGTGGCGAAGCGGACCAGCGAGCGGAGCTTGTCCGCGATGTAATCGGCCTGCTTCGCGACGGCGGCGCACTCGGACTTGAAGGAATCGGCCTCGTCCGCCGCCGCGAGGACCCGCTCCGCCAGTATGATTGGGTGGCGGAGTTCGTCCTGAAACGGCGGCGGCGGCGCTGGCGGCTCTGACTGTTCCCCGCCCCTCGACGGCGGCGGAGACGGGGAGAGGACCATTGCGAGGAGGAAGGAAACGGAAGTGAAGAATCGGTGATCGGAGAAGTGATGGAAGGAGGAGAGAATTTCTGTTCTTCAGTCAATTGATTTTCAAGGGTTGGTTTGGTTCCTTCTTCGATCGGGCAATTTTTTTTGGGTTTTTGGCGTTTTAGCGTTTAATTATTTTTCTTTTTCTTTTGGCTGGAAATGAATGAGGGATAAGGCTCGTGTCGACGGGCGCGTGGGTTACTGTCGTCTATTAGACTTGGGGGGAGAGAAGGTGGGAGGCACTTGTTAGGAAAGAGCGTGTGGATGGAGACGTGGAAATGTCGCTTTTATCCTTGTGGGTTGTTATTTTGGTGTGTAGGGTCTCGGTGGGTGCGTGTGACAGAGACGGAAAAGACATAACCGCCATTCTAGTGTTGTATTAAGCGGCAGGGATAATTTTGATAAATTTGATTATTCTTTGTAGTGGCCAATCTGTGGATTAGCATTCCAAATGCGTTTATCTACAAGAATTTGGGAAGAGAGGTAAATATTAGCATTCCAAATGCGTTTATCTACAAGAATTTGGGAAGAGAGGTAAATGGGAGGAGGGTGCAAATGTGAGCGGTAAACACAGTTTTCAACACATTTGCATATGTTTGGTTAATTTAAAACAGTAGGGGGTGCAAAACGAGAGTGCAAATTTACTGTTTCGGCTTACCCCTGAATTGGGGTGCAAGGGAAGGAAGGAAGAGAGGGGGAGGGGGGAATTATGAAATTTTATTTTTCTAATTGTGTTATATATAATTATATAATAATTAATATTATCAATTTCTTCTTTTTATAAATATCATTAATGTAAACATTATTCGGGGTTGACCATTTGACTCTGCAAACAAGTTTATCAATGTTCGTCAAGTCAAATCTAGATCTCTTGGTTGAATCAAATTTGCATTGGAAATTAGAGACACGAGGTGTTTGTGGAAAAGATAGAGAGAAATTGTTTGGTTAACTCAGTTTATTTGACTAAATAGTTAAAACTTACAAATTCGAATGTGTTTGACTAAGTTTGACAATTTAAGATTAAACTAGACACGAAAACCCTATATAGGATGACCAGTTACGAGTTGAGCTTCGAGTTTTGAGATTGCTCGATCAATGATTATTACAATTGTTATAATTAATTATTATTTGAGCATTATTATATAATAAATATTTTTAGTAAAGTATATTTATTATTATATAGTAATATTTATTTTATTATTTTATGATAATATTTTAAAATCTTAAAATCTATTTTATAATCTTAAAATCTATTTTAAAATTTTAAAATCTATTTTAAAATAATATAATTACTTACTTTTCACTCTATTTGCACCCCCCTACTTTTTCATCCAAACAACAATTTACCCCTCCACTTACAACCCCAACAATTTGCACCCCCAGCAATTTACCCCTCAACTTGCACCCCCCCTACAATTTGCACCCCCCTTGTTGCCAAACAGAGCGTAAGGGTTGGTCGTAAGTTTCGAACCTAAAGAAACTGATTAATGTTGTCCAGTGGCGAATCCAGAATATAGAAGTACAGTATGTGCCACATTTCATTAGACAATTATACAATAAATTTATACAATAATCATAATTTTTTTTACAATGTCAATTGTAAATGATGGTCTTTAAATTTAGCAAATTAATCAGTAATGGAGTCTTCATCCATACTAATCCCATACTCTCTTTCAAATAAAATAGCTAAGCAATCAGTAAGAAATTTATCGTTCATTTTATTGGGCAAATCAGTTTTCAAATGTTTCATTGTTGAAAAGATTCTCTCCATAGCAGCCGTTGAAATGATAACGTCAACACTAGATGAATCAACCAACTAATCACTTTGTATTGTGTGCCCATCACTATTTCCACCAGCTCCTATAGTAATTTTGAAGGAAACAAACCTCGTATTTTGTTTAGTCTTTTACTTTTTAGATTTTTAGACTTTTGGGCATCATTGGGGCTGGAATTCTTTGGTCAAAGTAGTGATTTGAATGTGTTCATTAGAACAATTTTCTAGTTACACAAAATTTTGTTACAAAATAACACTCGACCGAATATCTAAAATCAAAAAATTTATATGTGCAATACTAGCTCTGGATCCAGAGGAGGGCTAGACCGTGGCCTGGGATGGGCATCTCCTAGATCCGCCACTGATGTTGTCTCTAGGGGTGAACAAACACACCCACAAACCGACCCACCCATCCAACCTTACCCAATCCACCCGTATTTATCGCTAAACGAAGGTTTTGGGTTGGGATTTTGGATTACACAACCCATAGAACCCGACCCAACCCGTGTTCCAACTATTGGTATGAGTTCGTATCCAAAAATATTTATGTCGTATATAGCCATACTTATGAGAAAATTAAGATATTTTGCCATGGTTTTATCTCATGGTCTCCCTAATCTAATGCATTCTTCGACTTAAAGTTTAAACATAAATTTAATATAGTTATGATTCACGTAATCCTTTTTCTTGTGTACAATTTTAATAGAATAACATATTATGGATTCCTTTGTTTATAACCTTTTTAGCCTATTTCAACAAATATCGTGAAAAAAAACTAGACATATGTTGAAGTAAATCGCATTAAATTAAAATTCAAACAACATTTGTGAATTTTGATACCTTTCCCCTCGGTTTATTCGTTTGAAATTTTAATTAGTTATAAATACTTTTATGGTGTAGAATAATTATATATTTTCTGTTGGGTTGGATTTTTACTTAAAAATATCGCCAACCCAACTCAACCCAATTAAAAATCAACCGTAGGGTTTAAATTTTTTTAGGGTGGATTTGGGTTTAATATTTTCCAAACCGTAATGCATGGACGGAGTGATTAAAATGACTAAACCCAGACCACCCGACCCATATACACCCATAGTTGTCGCCTTTATGTTATCGTTAGGGTATATTTTGTCGAAGTTGGTTGACGAGCGTTGTAAATCCTCCTGAATCTCTGAGCCAAGTTACTGGTGTAGATAACGAGGTTGAAGACAGGATGGAGATGGATTATACCAGTCGGTGGAGAAGTACATGAAAGTTGGGTTGAATAGGTGGTGGTCATGGTGGCTATTAAGTATTAAGTCAATAATATTCCATATAACTACACTTTTATTTCGGTTATCAGTATTTAACTCGAATTATCTCTATCCGTTCCAATTTCCAACCAAATCAAATGTGTTCGTCCAATCATTGAGGAAATTTTTTTAAGAGAAAGCGATTAAGATATAAAGAGTGAATTCACATAACAAATGTTGCCTATATTTTAACCCTCCTAGACCTTGAAACCTGGACTCTTTTCTTATATCGTAAAGTTTGTCAAGCCGTCATTGATTTTTACTTCCACATGTTAATGTCCATTAAATGACGAAAAAAATGAATAGAAATATCGTGGAAATATGGTTGAACTACTAACTACTAAGCGACAACAAAGTAGATAGGAATGATTCTTTGTGTTATCTTTCCCTTCATGTTTGTCTTATTTCAATATGCAAATTTGTCATTTGCAAATTGCAATTTGTGTAGTCTACAAAAGTTATGAACTTTGATTTTTTTACATTTGATGAACAACATAATTCAATGCACACAGCTGATATCTTGGCCACTATAGTGTATATTATGCTTGTTTTCGTCATGGTCGATTTTTTTTTTTTTTACTAATTTTTCTTCATTAATTAATTTGTTAAGTACTCTATTTTGGGTTGATGGTTTTATTTTGGTGAAATTTCTTGGCTACTTCACTTTCTTTCTTTTTTTTCTTCTTGGTCTTCTTATTTACGTCTCCTTTGTGGCCCTTGTGTCTTATTTAATGACATAGCCAGGTGGCAGCTGGTACTAATAAATATGTTTAATAGGACAGCAAAATAATAATAATAATAACTAAGACACATGTTTGCCTAACCAAACAAAATCATATACATGGCATGGGATGGCTTGCTAACTATGTAGTGTGTTAGCACGGTGATTAACTCACCCATCACCACAAAAATGACGTCCAATGGTTGTTTGCTCTTAGGGGTGTTTTGGGTAAATAAACTTTGTAATTGACGTCATCACATGATCTCAGATTTTGCCGTAATTGTGTGCGGATTTTGTGCCCAACAATCCGCCCCTTCCTTTTTCTTTCCTGCCCATTTTCCTCTTCATTCTCCTGTTTCTCTTTCATCAAGCGAGCTTCCCAATCGACAGAACAATCTGCTCTCCCATCTTCGCATCCATCGCCAGCCGTCTGTGCCTCCAGATCATGTCTCGCCGTTTTTTAATTCAAACTCGCCCGATTCGCCACCGCATTAGCTCCCCTCTGCTTCATCGCCCTCGCCTCCACCATCTTCCCCGTCCTCTCCCACCTCCCCTGCGTCTCCGTCGCCGGAGTCAATCTCGCCGGAGTTAACATGCAATTTGATCTCCGGTCTCGGCGGGTTACTCTTCGGTCTCGCCGATCGGTGCATGCGAGGGCGTTGCGTAGTGTTTTTCAACTCCGAAATTCCAGTTTTATGGTCCACCTTTTTTATCGGCTGCTTTGATATCAATGTAACCATATTGACAAAAGTAGGGTTCACAAAGGTAGTAGTGTATTAATAAAATTTGATGTCGTGATTTATGATGTATTTGTTTAATGTGGTAGGCATTTCATGGGTACTGATATGTTTTACAGTAGGCAGTAGTGTTTCACAATGAATTGTAATGTTGTGCCTTCATATCTACTTTGTTAATTTGATTTCGTAGCATTTTTATATATTTATGTTTTGAAAAGTTAGTAGTGTTTTGTTAGTAATTTTAAGCATACCGTCTTGCTTTAAGCTTTGTTAGTTTCAGAATTGAATGGGTATGGAGGCTTTTGTGTGTAGCAGTTTGCATAAATGCAACTAATAATAAGGGTTGCTTTTGTTTTGTCTTTTTTCAGCGACAACCTCGATCGTGAACTTGCAATGTGCATGCAAGGAGATAAGAAGGTTTTGGGATGTAGCAGTAATTTTTTAGTAGTAGCAATTTGTCTGATTGAAGTAGTAAATAGTATGTTTTTAGTAGTAGCAATTTGTCTAATTAGTAGCAATTTTTTAGTAGTAGCAATGTTTCCTATGTAGTGTTTTCATAGCATTTATAGCATAATAGTCTATTTTCTAGGTAGTAGTAATAAATTCAATTTTCTATTGGTTTCAAGTACTACTAATTACGATATAGAAACACTATAATTGGTTGGATTATGATTCTGCGATGATAATTTGAAAATCCTATTACGATTACGAAACATTACTATTGAATGAAAACACTACTAATGACTTCAATACCACTCTTAACAAAACACTACTAATGGTTGGAAACAATACCACAATCCTCTAATAATAGCCAGTTGTGGAGGAGAGAGATGGAGAATATATTCCATTTTTACTCTCTTTTTCTGTTGATTCCATTTTTTTCTCTCAAAACGTGAGACATTAAATCAATCTTTTTATTTATACTTTATTTTTGAAACTCTATCATCAAAATCGGGAAATTTGTAACCGTATACCATTATGATCCCCAAAAATCCGGCCGCGTTTCTTTTAAATATAGAAAATTCGTCAAAATTTTAACTGAAAAAATTTATATTTTTATTTCCCTAAAAAATAACATTAACTTCCCTATTTTAAATTTTTATTGTTTCTCTAATTTGCCCTTTGTTAGCATGGTGCTAACCCTCTATGAGATTAGCACCGTAGCTTGTCCCCATATACATTGAACTGCCATTAATCCTTGGCTTAATTTTCTTTCTCTCTTTTGCTTAAGCGCATGAATGTTTTTATTCCTAGGGCAAAAATTGGCAAACCGCAAACAAAAACAAGGTAACAAATAAATACAAACAAAAACAAGGTAACAAATAAATATACGTCTGAATTTCTATTTCAACGAAGGTAAGCAGGCAATCTATTTTTGTTATGGAGATTGCTATTCGTCATCCTAAAAATTTTATTCGTCATCCTAACTAAATTAAATTTACTTTAATGCTCTTAGTTCATTTATTTATTTTTCAAACACTAAAATTCTACAATAAACTCATGTAATAATTAATTTAATCCAAATTCTAAGTAACAAGCTCGCCGGCGACGGGTTTCAACCCGTCCGGCCAAAATAACACAAAGAAAAAAAATGTGGGCACATCGGTTTGATGGTGGTCACCATCTCCTTTCCTTCTTCTCCGTAGGGGTCGTCGGTGGGAGCAACAACGACTCCGACCTCCCCTCTTTCTTCTTCCCAGGGGCGGAGCTACTCAGAGAATAGGGTGGGCCCCGGCCCACCCGGGAATATTCTCGGCCCCTAGGACCGTAAGAATATTTAGATAAAATTTAGATTAGTAGTGTTCGACCTATACATTATGTCATATAACAATCATGTAGTCTATTGGTAGCTAAACTAAACTTTTAGCCTAAAGCAAACAGGTTCGATGAACTTTTAGCATAAAGCAAACAGGTTCGATGCACAACTACCTCATTTTTGCTTTAACTTTTTTTTGGTTTTTATTGTCTTAATTCTCTTCCGCAAGGTCGTTGACCAAAGCAAACGCATACCCACTCCTTTTCATTCATTTTGTTACTTTACTCAAGCTACAAATGAAAAAATCAACCTCTATTTAGTTGACTTTAGATTTTTAGCTCTTTATACAAACTATATGATCTATTTTTTTTATCTATGTCGGAATGAACAGAAAGATTAGTGTCAAAGAATTTTTTTTTTTGATAGGTTGATTTGCCTTCTTCTAACTCTTCCAAATTTCTAAAGCTACATGTGATCGTGCATGTTTTCGGGTAAAAAGATAGTGAAGAATAGATTGTGAAACAAAATAAATGATGAGTTTCTCGTTAATGATTTAGTTATTTATTTGAAAGAAAGATAGCTAAAATTTTTAGTTCAGATGCTATTTTGAGAGATTTAAATGATCTCAAAGAATGTTGTAGACTTTAAAACTAATTATTTTATTTTTATTTGCTATTTTGAAAGATTTCAATGATCTCAAAGAACGTTGTAGACTTTAAAACTAATTATTTTATTATTATTAACATTTATCTATTTTTGGCCCAACCGGTCTCGAAATCCTGGCTCCGCCCCTGCTTCTTCAGCCTCCTCCTGGTTGACAGCGAGCATGGTGAGCGAATCGACGGTGGCAGCGGGCAGCGGCTCCGACCTCCTTCCTATCCAATGTCGGGATGTTTCTGGGCTTCGAATGCACTTTGCACACTGGTGCTTGTTTCAGGTGGATCTTGTGAAGTACTATAATTTTCAGAGAGCCGGGAATCACCAATTCACCATCTGAGTATTGCATTTGGCATATAAGGTCCTAGACTCAAAATGAATATCACAGCCAGTGACGGAGGTAGCATTTCAAACCACCCTTGTTCTTTTTTCATTACTCAAATATTTAAGTATCTAATAAATGAATTATTTAATAAAAATAATTAGAAATAATTATATCTGAATAATTCATTCATAAATTAAAAATAACCGATTATACAATCATACTTTTCAGAAACAACTACAAAGGAATTTCATACAATGAAAGAAACGGAAAAACATTCGTTGTCTGCACTATTATCTGAGTATTTAATGTATCTTACTAAATAAGTATTAGCAAACTGATCTCTAAATCGACTTGGAAACTTGTTCTTAATATAACTCAAAGCTGAAAATACTCTTTTTACACTTGCAGTTGTAATTGGTAGATCAAAACTAGTGGGATTGTCGTTGTCGCTAGATAATTTCAGGGTTGTTGGGGAAAAGATCGAATGAGCATAAGGAGAAAAGGGACCTGATTAGGTCTTTATTGCAATTGGAATTTCGTTTATAATATAATAATTAATTTTCTGTCAAGTTTGGACAAATAATAAGTTGTGTTGTAGTGACAAAGTACTCTAATACTACCTATCGGTGTTGTGTTCCATCACAAATATAAATATATATGGCATATTTTTTTCCACCAAAATTTACCCCTGTCCAGGGACAAGGCCAAAGGGCCTGCCTCTGCCACTGATCACTGCGAAGGAGGTGGGTTAGCGGCGGTGGGAGGGATTGGGGGTAGGCGGCGTGAGGGAGGTGGGTATGCCGACGGGAGGGTTTTGGGTAGGCTAAGTTTAGGTTTGAATTGGGGTCAGGGGTGTATGTGTCATTTTGGTACGTTTTAGTGCGATAAAATTCAAATTTTAGGGCGACGAATAGCGATTCACATCAATAAAGTTTTATATACCATACTATTGACAAAAAAATATTGGTAGATCGACGATACATTGCACATTTCAAGAGTAAATAAATAATAATGTTATTTTATTTGTAAATGGTCCAACAGGATAATTAGTGATGACAATTTGAATCCGCACCGTGAGTATTACTCGATCTGAACCGTAATGAAACGAGTATTAGTATTACTCGACCCACAGTAGCATGGGAGCGGGACATATGTATCTACTCCCGACCCGACTTGTCCCATTTTTTTGCTTATTCTATATCAATTTCGTATAGTATCTATTTATATTTTGATTAAGCAGTTGATAGTGAGTGATCGGCTAAGGAGGATGTTTTAGAATTCGAGCAAGACCCTTTGACTTCTTTGTCTTTATTTCAAGACAGTGCAACCATTGCTCATCCTATTTTGGCTTTTCTTCAACTAACTAGACTCGATATTTCAACGAGTTAGACTCAATTACCCATTTTATTATCACTATTTTCATTCATAAAGTATTTTCCCCTTCATTTTATCATAAAAAGTATAATTTTACGTTAATTTTTTTCAAACACCATATAAGAGTGTGTCGACTCGACCTGCCCGTAGTCGTGCATATATTACTAACCCCGACTCGCAGGAGCATGGGTATTGTGGTAGGGGCAGAGCTACATTAACATAGGGTGCCCCCCCCCCCCCCCCCCCCCCCCCCCACCCCGCCGCGGATTGGCCAGTCTTTGGGATCGTAACAATATTTAGTACAATTTTTATGAGTAGAACTTGTTCTGTAAAATTTGTTGTATAATAATCATGTGGTTGAATGGTGGCGAAGCTTGACTTATGTCTTAAAGCACACAGGTTCAATTCACCTTGGCCACTTACATTTTGTTAATTATTTTTGATCCCCGGGCCTCGAAATCCTAGCTCCGCCCCTGTATTGAAGTACCCGCCCCGCCTGCCCTATTGCCATAACTACGAACAATCTATAACCCTTAAACGATGAAGGTATAATCATTTGCGCTCTCATTTGATCTTAAATCTAAATCACTTTGGTCGTGGAATATAATCAGTCACATTTTATAGTATACTATGGGGTTAATTGCATGGTTGGTCACCGAGATTACAAAAAACGTTTAAGTTTGGTCACTCGAAATATTTAAATCCATTTGTGGTACTTTAGTTTACTGAAACCGTTCACGTTTGGTCACTCTCCGTCCAACTCCGTTAACTTTCGCTTACGTGACGGTCAACTCTAAAAGTTGAACGTTAAATGTGTGACGTGATAATTTAAAATTAATAAAATTATTTTTTTAAATGGCCATCTCATTTCCACCTCATATCACTTTTATTTAAAAAAAATAAAAATCCTAATTTCTTCTGATCCCCAACACCAAACCCCACCGACAGCATACCCCGCCGTTAATTTTCTGGACTGGCGTCGTAGGATTATTGACCACCGCACGTCTGCATCCTCTGCCACCACGTTGTATATCAACGGAAAGCTCTCTCAATTGCGTCCCCAGCAACACCACCACCAGCAGGGAAGACAACAACAGAGCACCCACTACAGCCACCACCGTAGAAGTTTCGACTGCCACGAATTGGGCGGTGGTGTGCCACGAATTTCGTCGGTGAGGAAGTCCGACGCATAACATGACGCCCAGCGAGAAGCTCGTGATCTCGCGCATCAAAGCTCGGTTGAACGAGAGAGAATTGAAGCCGGAGGAAGAGATCAGAAGTCCGAGGCAGTACGCGAGGCAGATTGTAAAGTAGGTGAAAGTGCATCAGTAGGAGAGTCGGTTTGGACATCGACTCTGAATATCTCCCAGATACTTCTCCTCGGCCTCCACCCCAGGCTCCTTCCACCCAATCGAGTACTGAATTTTGTAAAGATTCCCTGCACGATGAGGAAACTCCGTCTCCACCGCCGGCACCTCTTCCATCGCTCCACCGTACTGGTTGAAAAAGAACCATGTTTTCCCCGACTCCATCATCTTTGCCCAAATCCCTTCCAAGCTAGCTTTCAGGATCGGTGTCACAACGTAGTCCGATTTCCTCTTGCTAGATTTGATCGATTGCAGCTCCCTGCTCAGCAGGACCGCCGTGTTATTCTCGTCGTCTAATACCCACCATAGAAGAAATTAGGGTTTTTTTTATTTATTTTAAATACAAATTATATGAGGTGGAAATGAGATGGCAATTTAAAAAAATTAATTTTATTAATTTTAAATTGCCACGTCACACATTTAACGATCAACTTTTAGAGTTGACCGCCATATAAGCAAAAGTTAACGGAGTTGGACGGAGAGTGACCAAATGTGAACGGTTTCAGTAAACTGAAGTACCACCAATGATTTTAAATATTTTGAGTGACTAAACTTGAACTTTTTTTGTAATTTCAGTGACCAACCATACAATTAACCATTATACTATGTGTTAAGTGTTCGATTGAGTAGGCACTGAAATCTATCCATGAATTGTTAATTTATGTTTGGTCTCTCCATCATTGACCAACCAAAGTTCTCGAACTATAAACGTCTGACTGACCCGACATTAGTTCTTCATTTTGAAACCTTAAATTAATCATCAATTTGTTTATATCTTAATGGCTCTTAGTGGTCGATAGCACGTTGGTATTTTTGGCCACCATTGGCGCCAGCCAAGCCCGTCTTTGCTTCTTCCTTAGGTAACCAGTTCGTGAAGCGGGAGCGAAAACGCGAGAACGTCTATTTTTCAAGAACTTAATATTGAGAGTGTGATCAGAGCGTTAATATTATATTTTTTAATATATATAATTAATAAATTAGTTTTATGAATAATGTTCATACCAAATATTGAAGACTTAAAATATATTAAATATCTCTTTTTTACATAAAACTGGGGTATTTGGTTAAAAAAATCTATTAATATTGTATAAGAAAAAATATATTGCAAAATTAAAAAAAAAAAAAAAGAAACGTTAAGTAATCACACACAAAAAAAAGTAACGTTAAGCAATTAACACACCCCAATCAATTGGACTTTTCTAGAAAGGCTTTTTTAATGGAAATCTAGAAAGACGTTTCAATTTCATGGGTTTGGGAATTTGGACTCCACTTAAGGGAGATAATGTCGTCATCCTTCTCTCTTCAAACAACGCCCATTACTCATCAGCCAAACTCGTCATCTGCTTCTCTCTCGTTCCTTTCTTCTTCTCTGCCTTTAATTCCCGAGTGAGAGAATCGATAGATCAGGAAGGAGATGGGGAGGCATATCATCCCTCTCGTGGCAGCTATTTATTCCCTCCAATCCGCCAAGCGAGATATCATAAAAGGCGTCGGCACTCATCGGCGATGAGATTGCTTTTTCTTAGGCTTTCGCGGAGCCGCATCCACCCTCGTCTTCTCATATGAAATCTCTGAACCATTGATTCCCATAAACGATTCAATTACTATAGATCTATGAGGAATAGTCTTGGATTGTGGTTGCTGTGTAATTTTTTGTTGTTGCATGCGTGGATCTGCCTATGGAACGGCAAAAAGAGAGGACAAAGTGGCGTCGATGGGGGTGATGAGTCCTGAGTGGTAGTGAAATCCATTCTTTCGGGTTATGGAGCACCCACAAGTTCAACTCTAGTCTTCTGGGTTCCAGGAGAATCCGCACTCCCATAATCCTAAATCGCGCTCTCACAGAAAATAGTTCGCGATTTTTTGGCGAACTCCACAAAAGTCGCGTTTTGGCATTCTGAAGCAGGAACGCGAACGGTGTAAGGGCGAATTGGGTGACCTAACTTCTTCCGCCTGCTTAAAAGTTAGTTCAGAATATAATATGCAAGTGAACTATATAATAATGTCCCAAAATAGCAAATTGATTCTGTACTTTTTTCATAACTTAAATTATCTAATAAATTGTGTTACGTAAATTTAAAAAAAAAAAAATGAGAGGCACTCTGGCCTCTCTCCTCTGCTTTGGCTCTCTGCTCGGGAAATGGCTGACCTGGGCTGTAGCGGCGGTCTTTGCCACAAGCTGGAGGAACCAGTCGGCAAAAGGTTGGTATTTTCAGCAGGATCAGAGGAGTTTTAAGGCCCTACTCAGGACTGGGAAGGCTGGCCTCCCTAGAGCTGTAAAGCTACCTTCGTCGAAAGAGATTGAGCGAGAGGTGGAATGGCGAACAGATCAGCGCCATCACCAAAACAAACGCTTGCGTCCGTCTGTTGAAGTTGGAAACCTTGAGGAACAACCTCTTAAGCGGCTGCGACATATACCCAAGAACCAATGGAGGTTCTGGCTCCCCCACTCGTCGGAGATGGAAGGGGACGAACCATTTCGAGCCCCGTTCGCGGGAGGTAACTCGTCAGAAATAACAAATAGCTGTGAACAACTGGTACCGGATGCAGGCCTTAATCGGCTACTGGCAGTCGGGGAGGGGATTTTCCCCATGGAATCAAACTGGGAAGGTTATCAATTTGGTCAATCTGATCATAATCCCTCGGGAGGAGATATGCCCTGTGTGCGACTGGAGGAGGAAGGGGAGGTTGTCCAAAAAGAGCCATCGAAACCCAGCTCCGCCGCAGAGAAGAGAAGCGATGTGGTGGTGGCCGCCGAGCAATGGTGCCAGCTGGTGTGGCGGCGTAATGATAGGGCGGTTAGGATAGAATCGAATCCACAGCCCCCTCTTCTGTTGAGCGGGATCCTCGGGAAGAATATCCGGGCAAAAATTCAAAGAAATCCCACGCGGCAAAGGTCTCCGAGTTCCAGTGGAATTCGAATTCAAAACAGCCCCTGGGAAGCCCGTCTTCGCCCGGGAAACTCAGGATTTTCAGCCTATAAAACCCATTGGTTGAGTTCTACTCGGCCATAAAAAATTTAGCGGTGGTGTGCTGTCCTTCCAGAAACCCAACCGGCGTCTTTTTCCAGAAATCAGGAGGCGGCTCCCGACTTTGATTCAGGTAAGCACGAATCGATTTGCTTTACCTCTGCTTGCGGTGTGGTGCGAGAGGCCACTGAGCTCGGGAACGGCCTACACTCGCCGGTAAACGCCGCGGGTCGGCCGTCGCTGGCGGGAGAGGGGTTTGCCCCTGCGACGATTGCCTCTGCTGCGCAATCGGAATCTGCCTTCGGGCTCAACAGTATCGAATCACCTACCCTAGGGAGGCAGGGAAGTGGGAAGGGAGATCTGGGCCTGGTGGGCCAATCCGCCCCCTTTGGGCCAGTGAATTGGATGGGCCGGTCGGCCCCCTGTGGTTTAGTTGGGCCGTTTGGCCTGGTGGCCAGGTCTGCCCCCATTGGGCCAGTTGGGCCTTTTCTTGCCTTCGGGCTTATCAAAACCAGACCCCCAAGCCCATTTTCCATTGTTTTAAATTCCAAAACTATGAGTCCTTTTGGGCTTGCTATCGCCGAGCCCATTGAAGGAAATAACCAAGTTTAATGTGCCTAATGAGTTACTTGTCTATGATTGGCAGGTGAATATGACGTCTCAAATTGCCGAGAATCAAGTGGTCGAGTTCTCATTGGAGGAGGTCCAATCGGTGAGGTTTCGAACCTCTAGGACCCTTCTGGGAAGGCTCTTTTCGGAGGCCCAGTTTACTACTGCGGAATTGAAAGAGGGACTTGTAGAAGCATGGCGGGTGAAGGGAAACCTTAGGGTTTCACTTACGAAATTTGGCTTATTCGAAGTGGTGTTGCCCAATGATGAAACAAGGGTGTGTGTCCTGAAACGGTCACCCTGGATTGTCAAAGACAGGATCTTCCATCTTCGATCCTGGACACCATCGATTTCCAGGCACACATTTGAGGAGTTAGCTTTTGCCCCCTTTCGTGTTCAACTCTGGAATGTGAAAGATGACTGCTGCACTAAGCAGTTTGGCCAGAAAATGGCATCGGGGAAGATCGGGCAGGTTTTGGAAGCAGATGTCTTCGCGTCAAAGGAGACGGATGAGCACTTTGTAAAAGTGCACGCTCTCATTAATTTTTCTAAGCCATTGCGCTCTCAACTTATGGCGGTTAGCGAGGAGCTTGGCGAGTTCTGGGTCAATCTCAAATATGAGTTCCTTCCAACCGTCTGCTTCCACTGTGGGCGTGTAGGACATTCTAAGCGTGACTGTGTCTTTGACCCCCCTCCGGGGAAAGAACGCTTTGGCCCTCACATGACAACGAGGAAGCTCGGGCGCAAGGTATACATGGAGGAGGATAACTTTTCGAAGTTTCGGGGTACAAGCAAGTCGGTGTGGATCAACAGGAATGTCCACATGCAGAATGATGGGAACGCAAGGATTGTCAAGGGGCGAGTGGAGGAGGGGCCGCGGGTGCCCTCTACAAATACTCAGATTCTGGGAGGGCTCCATCAGGGGGGGGGGGGGGCACCATGACCGGCCTACAGAACCAGAAGAGCAAGTTAGCATGAAAAATCAGCCTAGGCTGCGAGAGCCAACCAGCCAGAAGACCGGGGATCTTACTAGTCCAAAAAGATTTAGCTTCAAGAAGTCCCCCAGGGTGAAGCTTGGTGGAGGGGTGAGGCTACCGTAGATAAGCGGTCGCCTAGGAAAAATACTAATATGGGTCAACAGGATGCTCAAGGTCGTTAACAGCCGAGTAGACGCAGGAACCAAGCTCCCCAGCCTAAGAAGGAGACTGATCCAGTGGAGTTAGTCCTCGAGCAATCCAGAAGGAGGAGACTGATACTGCAGGAGGAATCTGAAGAGGAGGAGAATGTGAGGTCTGCAGCCATTTTGCAGAAGGTTGCTCAGGCAACTGTGGTCAAGGCAGGGGGGGCAGGATCTCGGGTTCGCCTGCGGTTGAGAAAAGAAGGAGCTCGCTCCCCACGGTCGTTGCCCACCCAGGTTGAGGAGGTTACTCCTCAAAGATTCTGGGGATAGCTTTGATGACCCCAAAATGGAGAAACAACATCAGGGATCTGATTCGGATGAGGACCCATCGCTGGAGGAGTCCCATGCTTTTGAAATCAAGCGCCGATCACCCTCTGGTGTTGCCAAGGAGGTCTCTCATGTCAAGAAAGGCCGAGTTCATCAAGTGGTGGAAGCTTTTGAAGCAGGGCTTAACATTGGCCAAGTGGAGCCTTCCTCCTGGAAGGAGGCGAGCTTGGGTCTGAATGAGTATAGGTCTAATCTGGAGGACCCAATCATGGAGAATAGGAAGTGAGTGATCGAGGAGGTGGAGGGGGTTGTGGGTGACCCTCCTACTCCGAAGAGACAATTTGTGGAATCAGTGGAAGTCCAGGAAAAGGTGGAGGAAGCCAGCCTCGAGTGGCCCCCAGTGGATAAATGAGGCTTCTGGCCTGGAATGTGAGAGGAATTGGGCCATCCCTCACCTTCCATTCTGCTTTAGGGCTTGTTCATTCTAATAAGCCGGATGTAGTGTTTTTCTCAGAGACACGTTCGAGCCGGCGTGTAGTGGCCCGCCGTATGCGGGGTTTAGGTTTTGAGTTTTCTCGTTGTTTTTTTGTTGATGCAGTCGATGCATCGGGTGGGTTAGTTGTAGCTTGGGCCCCTGGGGTTAACACTTCGGTGTTTTGTTCTTCCCAGTTCTATATTTATTTGCAAATTAATGAAGGTGATTCTTCGTATTTGGTGTTTTTTGTTTACATTAGTTGTAATGTTGCTGTTCGAGATAGCCAGTTGGCTCATTTGCGTGAACTATGTGCGGATATTCACCAACCATTCGTGATCATTGGTGATTTTAACGCCATCCTCCATGAGGGAGAAAAGATGGGGGTCGGGCTTGAAATGCGGCTCAAGCCACCAGTCTGCGGGAATTAGTTCATGATTTGGGTCTCCATGACCCAGGGTACCAAGGGGATCAGTTTACCTGGACCAACAGGCGAATGGGGGAGGCGTGCATTCGCGAACGGCTGGATAGGGCTCTTTGCTCCCCGTCCTGGATAGATACGTTTCCTGAGACTTTGGTCAAGCATTTTACGGATCAGGGGTCAAATCATCGTGCCCTCCTTCTCGCTGATAAGCCTTACACTCGGAATAGCCGACCCCTGTTCCGGTTTGATGCTCATTGGGCGGAGAACCCGGAGGTTAGGGCAATGGTCCAGTATGTCTAGCAGGAGGAGTTGCAAGGTACCCCCATGTTTCGTCTCTGGGAGCGCCTTAAAAAACTCCATCACCTGCTGTATGATTGGAGTAGGGCGGGCACCACAAACTCCTTGCGAAATATTAAGACTCTCCAGGCTGAGATTGACCGAATCAAGTCCATCCATCCGGTGGATTGGGATGCGGTACGATCCCTGGAGATGGAACTATCTCGTCAGTGGGATGCAGAGGAGTTATACTGGTAGCAAAAATCCAGGGTCCGTTGGCTAAAGAAAGGGGACCAAAATTCTGCGTATTTCCACACGGTTACGCGCACGCGTGGGAAAAGGAATTTTGTCGCTGGTCTCCGAGATGATGAGGGTGAGTGGGTTACGGAAGAGAGCGGGAAGGCTAGGATTGCTACCAGCTTTTACCAAACTCTATTCACTTCGGAATCCCAGGTGCTAAATATGGCGGAGAGGGTGGCGAGCCTCCCCATTCCTCAAACGGTTACTCCGCATATGAATGAGATTTTAACGGCGGTGGTGTTACCGGAGGAGGTTCGGAAAATGGTCTTTTCCATTGGATCGAAGCAGGCTCCGGGATCTGATGGCTTTACCGGAAAATTCTTCAAAGCATACTGGGATGTGGTGGGTGTCTCAGTGATTGAGGCGGTTTGCTCTTTCTTTTCGACTAGTCGAATGCTACGGAGCTTTAATCATACGTGGCTTACGTTGATCCCTAAAGTGGATTCTGTAGAAAATGTCCGCCAGCTGCGTCCGATCAGTCTCTGCCAATTCGTTTATAAAGTGATAACCAAGATCAAGGCGGAGCGGCTTGCGGGCTTACTTCCTCAACTTGTTTCTGAGGGGCATAATGGGTTTGTAAAGGACAGGCAGATTATTGATAACGTCCTTCTTGGGCATGAGTTAAAGCATTATCTCAAAATAAAACGGCAGGGGAATAAGTGGTACATGGCTCTAAAGGTTGACATGGAAAAGGCCTATGATAGAGTTGAATGGCCTTTCCTTCTGGCAGTTTTGGATAAGATGGGCTTTAACTCTGTCTGGCAAGGATGGATACACGAATGTCTTAGATCCGCTACTTTTTCGGTTCTGATGAATGGTACGCCTTCGGGCTTTTTCGGTTCCTCTCGGGGACTCAGACAGGGAGATCGGTTGTCGCCTCTCCTGTTTGTGATTTTCACGGGGGGGTTTGCGACCCTTCTTCGGAAAGCTATCTCTGAAAAGAAATTGGAGGGGGTGAAGGTGGCGCCTCGTGCTCCTAGGATCTCGCATTTGTTTTTCCGCAGATGATTCCTATTAATTCCTGCGCGGTTCTCTTCAGGAGTGCGAGAATCTAATTGTGGTGCTAAATGAGTATGAGGAGCTGAGTGGGCAGCGGGTGAACCTGGAAAAGTCGGCAGTCTGCTTTAGCAAAAATGTTGCCTTGGATGATCAGGAGTTTTTGGCTGTGATTCTTGGGGTCGGAGCAGTAGGGGTTCATGATAAGTACTTGGGATTGCCCACGTTGATTGCCCGATCCAAAATGGCGACATTCCGATATCTGGAGGAGAAGCTACTGGCGCGTCTGCAGGGGTGGAAACAGAAAATTTTATCCTGGGCAGCTAAGGAGACCTTAATTAAGTCAATTGCTTTGGCTTTGCCCCTGTATGTTATGTCTTGTTTCCGGTTGCCCCTCTCCCTTTGTTGTTTATTGGATAGACATGTGGCCCGCTTCTGGTGGGGCGCTGAGGAGGGGCACCCCAAGATTCGGTGGGTGTCCTGGCGGAACCTTTGTCGGAGCAAGCATGAGGGGGGCCTTGGCTTTCGCATGTTTGAGCATTTTAACCAGGCTCTCTTAGCAAAGATTGGCTGGCGTATTCTCCAAGAGCCGCATTCCCTCCTGGCTCAGGTGTATAAAGGGAAGTACTTTCCTCACGGATCTTTTCTGTCTGCTACTGCCCGGTCTAGGCCGTCTTGGGGTTGGCAGAGTATCCTGTTTGGGCGTCAGCTTTTGGAGGCAGGTTTAAGATGGCAGATCGGCAATGGCCTCTCGGCCTCCCTTGTACATTCTTAATGGATTCCTGGGCTTCAACTGGATTCTCCTTGCTATAACCCCCGTGTCCTGCCAAATGGGGGGGGGGGGGATCCCCTGGTGGCGGAGGTTATTTGTCAAGGGGAAGGGCGTTGGGATGAGAATAAGCTTAGTCAATGGTTTGACCCTTCTGTCTGTCGGGCCATTAAAGCTATCCCACTTCCGAGGAGGAGTGTGGATGATAAACTTATATGGCATAACACTGCTGATGGGGTGTTCTCGGTTAAGACGGCATACCATCTGGCTGTTGAGCTTGACAGGAGGAGGGGTGGGTGGCGGGACTCGGTGAGTTGGATGGATAGGCAAAGCTGGATCCGGTTGTGGGAAGCTAAGATCCCTCCCAAGCTTAAAGTCTTTGTCTAGCAAATTTTGAATCGAGCCCTGCCAACCACAGAGGCGCTCATTGAAAAGAAGGTTCTTGTGCTGCCCCGGTGTCTGGTTTGTTGTGATGGTCCCGAGACTATGGAACATTTATTTCTTTACTGCCCGGTTGCGCCGGCTCTCTGGGATTTATCGGGGTTGGAGTTTTTAGGTGAGGCTTTGCCTCGGCACACTTTTCCACTATTTCTGAAGCGGATGCTTGCCCTGGTCCATGATCTGTCGCTGTTTATGGCGGTGGTTGCCATCCTCTGGCGGATCTGGCGATCGCGAAACTGGGTTGTCTTTGAGGGCAAACAGTTTGGGTTTCCGGCTTTAATGCGCCAATTTCACCAGCAATATGAGGAGTGGATGGGTCTGCCGGTTTCCCAGCAGCCAAGGGTGTCTTGCCAGGTGGTCCAGCCTGAGACCCAAATGGATGATTCTCGGTTGGTTTGCATGTGGGATGGGGCAACTAGGAGGGGTTCACACTCGGCTGGCGGGATGGTTCTTTGTGGTCCGGGAAGGACGGTCATTCGGGCTAAAGGTGTGCAATTTGCACGAATTGATGAACCGATGGTGGTGGAACTGCTTGTGTTGCGTGAGGCTATCACTTGGTGTTTAGAGTGGGGTTTGTCCGTTGTTTGGTTCGAGGGTGATGCGAAGGTCATTATTGACAAGATTAATCAGGCCGATTTGCGGGACAATCGCTTGGGGGCAGTCCTGGACGAGATTTGTCAATATTTTGCTGCCTATCCAGGGTTTAGTGTGCGGTTTGTAGGTCAGGAGAACAATAGGGTAGCACATTCGGTAGCTAGAAAAGCCCTTTCTTTGTACCCGACTGGGAATCGCTTTTTTGATTTCAGGGCCTGGCTGCTTTCCAGGATGTAACTATCTTTTTGATTGGATTAATATATATTATCTTTTGAAAAAAAAAATTTATCTAATAAATTAATTATTTAATAAAAATAATTAAAAATAATTATATCTGAATAATTCATTCATAAATTAAAAATAATCGATTATACAATCATATTTTTCATAAACAACTACAAAGGAATTTCATATAGTGAAAGAAACGGAAAAACATTTGTTGCATGCACTATTATACAAGTCTTTAATGTATCTTACTAAATAAGTATTAGCAAACTGATCTCTAAATCGACTTGGAAACTTGTTCTTAATATAACTCAAAGCTGAAAATGCTCTTTTTACACTTGCAGTTGTAATTGATAGATCAAAACTAGTGGGATTGCCGTTGTCGCTGGATAATTTCAGGGTCGTTAGGGAAAAGATCGAATAGGCATAAGGAGAAAAGAGACCTGATTAGGTCTTTATTGCAATTGGAATTTCGTTTATAGTATAATAAATTAATTTTATGTCAATTTTGGACAATTAATAAGTTGTTGTAGTGACAAAGTACTCTAATACTACCTATAGGTGTTGTGTTCCATCACCAATATAAATATATATGGCGTATTTTTTTCCACCGAAATTTACCCATGTCCCGGGACAAGGCCCTAAGGGCCTGCCTCCGCCACTAATCATTGCGAAGGAGGTGGGTTAGCGGCAGAGGGAGAGATTGGGGGTAGGCAGCTTGAGGGAGGTGGGTATGCCAGCTGGAGGGTTTTGGTTAGGCTGAGTTTAGGTTTGAATTGGGGTCAGGGGTGTATGTGTCATTTTGGTACGTTTTAGGGCGATAAAATTCAAATTTTAGGGCGACGAATAGCGATTCACATCAATAAAGTTTTATATACCATACTATTGACAAAAAAATATTGGTAGATCGACGATACGTTGTACATTTCAAGAGTAAATAAATAATAATGTTATTTTTATTTGTAAATGATCCAACAGGATAATTAGTGATGACAATTTGAATCCGCACCGTGAGTATTAATCGATCTGAACCGCAATGAAATGGGTATTAGTATTACTCGACCCACAGTAGCAAGGGAGCGAGACATGTGTATCTACTCCCGACCCGACTTGTCCCATTTTTTGCTTATTCTATATCAATTTCGTATAGTATCTATTCATATTTTGATTAAGTAGTTGATAGGGAGCGATCGGCTAAGGAGGATGTTTTAGAATTCGAGCAAGACCCTTTGACGTCTTTGTCTTTATGTCAAGACAGTGCAACCATTGCTCATCATCCACATGCCCCTATTTTGGCTTTTCTTCAACTAACTAGACTCGATATTTAACGAGTTAGACTCAATTAGCCATTTTATTGTCACTATTTTCATTCGATAAGTATTTTCCCCTTCATTTTATCATAAAAAGTATAATTTTACGTGTATTTTTTTCAAACACCATATAAGAGTGGGTCGACTCGACCTGCCCCGTAGTCGTGCAGATATGATGAAATTAAGAAATCTCTAGAGTATTTGAGATTTGCCCCAAGGATGGAACAGCTAAAACAAAGAGAAGCCACAGCAAACAGAAAGGGGAAAACTTGGGAGACAAGTGACAACAGGTAGTGTTCAAGGGGAGGCTCCATAAAACAGCAATGGCGAGAATGCTACAGTTCCATTGGACGAACAAAGTCAGCAAACCAAAGCACAGCAAAGGACTAAGGCGGCAAATTTCCATGGGTTGCAACAATTAAATAAATTTCTGACATCATAGCTTGGCAATGAGGGGATGTTGGATAGGCTTTGTTGGAGTTACAGCGTCTTTGAGCTCGCAATCGCCCGTACTTGGAGGCACATCCACCGCCGGGGAGCAATTAAAGAACCCATGTGGCTGCAACAACATTCCCACAATTTCAACAGAAAAAGCGAGCTATACATCCGACTGATTTGAATTTGTATTAAGAAAATGACCAATTGTTGCAATTAACTTTCTTACCATGAGCATGAAACCGACGTGCTCCACTGGCATGACTGGCCAATCTTCCAATCGAGGGATGTGTGTAACTCCAAACACATACCTGCAAACCGTATATGATATAGAAAACAGTAAGAACATCGATGAAATGTTGCATCTCTGTGAAGGAGAGAGGAAACTGACCAAAGAACAATGTTAGTCTCTTCAATCGATCGATTCTGCTTCACCCAAGTGGCCAATCCCTCCCCTGCTCGCGGGTTTTGATTAGGGAACTCTCCTCCAGGATACATTTCGTCCCGTGCATAAGGTGTAACCCAGAGGTTATGCTTCAAGAAGGCAGCCCTTCTAAGGAACTTTGCTTCTGGCCTGGCTAGTGGTAGGCAGTTCGATCCAGGCACTAGTTTGTAGCCTGTGAGTTGGCCGGTTCGGTTTACAGTTCTAGTGTTCCTGATCTGGTCAAAAGGTCGTGAACTAGGATCAGGAGCAAGCAAAATATCATAAGAAACTGAACGGTGACTTGATAATGTTTTATTTTACTCACAATCCAATGGCGGGCAGAGAGAGGATTGCAATCACGCATTGCCTGTGATTCAGTCCTGAGAAGTTCCTCTTCTGGGTAGAAAGCATTGTTGTGTACATTATCTTTTCCAGGCTCTTCAACTTTAACATTCATTTCGACGACCTACGTGCAAGGAAAGAAAGAAGTGAATCAACTGATCATCGATACTCTACAAAACTTCGGATGATTTTAATGTTAGGCAAGTTATACCTGATTAAACGCTTCACCAGGCTTGCAATCAACCGCCATATCCATACGTGCCACAAAAAAGTGTTGATGGACTGGTGCATACAATCCAGGGGCGATCATCGTCCCATATTTCCGAGCTTCCCCAGGTTGTAATGCTCCTAGACTCAGAACTCCAGTGAGCTTTACCTCAGCTTCAATCTTGCCATCCTGTTAAGTATATAAACTATTAGTCAAGACATAATCCCAAAAGCAAGCAGCATTGTTGAGCAATTATACCCTAATAATGGTGGACTTGCCTGATAAAAGTGCCAGAAGAATCCATACTCATAGTTAGCCACTGTGCATACGAAAGACACAGTTAGCCTCCTGGATCGACGGACTTCCGCCAAACCAGTTCTCCAATCCTGATGCTTCCATAAGATTCCATGATCCTCTTCATGCAGACAAACACAGTTCTCAATCGTTTCAACACCTCCTGTGAAATTTGTGAAATGCGCATCAAAGTACTTTATGTAACCCAGACAGTCGCAGCCCTGTGGATACATACAGCAACTTAAGGTGTCAGTAGACTGTTTAGTTTCGTCAAGAGAGTCAACGATCTAATAGGAGCAAGTGCTTACAAGCAAAGTAACTCACTTTCTTGAGAGAATGTGCATTTTTCCCTAACCCATCTTCCCCAGCATCAAAAGCATTCTTCCTGTAATGCGGATCGTTTGGGTCACCATAAGGGACAACCATCTCAACGAAACTGAGTCTATGTGCCACAGGTCTTCTCCCTTGACTTCCATCAAGATAAGCGACAGAATATATCACTAAACCCTCTCTTGGAGTGAAGCCAATCCGAAAATTCCACTGAGAGTAAAAATATAAAGTTTAATATTTTGAATTTTTGATAATTGAGATAATGTGAATTTATAGACAAGCAAATGAACTGCATGAGCACCTTCTGCCAATTGACAAAGTGGCCACTGACGCGGAAGCTTGGACCTTCAGGCTGAATAATCTGCAGAGGTTTCACATCACTCCTATCAACACCACCACGAGTTTCCCCAGCAGTGTAGTTTCTCAAGGGATCGGCTGGCGGTAGAGGGACAAGTTTACGGTCCTCGAATTCAATCACTACCATGTTCTGCATATCAACAAGAACATGGATTCCTTCGACAGGACGAGCATATCCATTGTCCAAAGGACAGTCACTCTCAGTTCTGCAGAAGATTAGTGGCTTAGCAAGCCTGCGCCTAGGTGCATCAGCTTCACTGTGATACCCAACGCACCTGCAGAAGTCAAACACCATAATCGTTTCCACCGATCAGAACACATGTATTGTAAAGCACCATTCTCTATAAAAAACTAACTTACCAAGGATCCACCATGACAAGATCCATATCCACAATGCCCCTCTTTCTCATAGCCTCTTGAAACGGTGGGTAGTCTTTTACCACAGCCTCACATTCAGCATACTCCTCAGCGTCCTAAAAGGACAAAGCAAAGCGGGAGAAAAAAGTGAATCACTGCAAATAGTATGGAACAAACAAGGCCTAGTTCCAAAAATTTGACTTCCGATGTTCTGAGTACCATTGGAGGTTGCACATCCGGAACAACTTTGGATGAAATGACTTTGCCCCTGTGATGTCCACCTCTAGTTGCTGCATGAACTTCACTGAGCTCAACTGTCCATATGCTCGTCTCGTTCGACTTCTTATTGTAAACAACAAGCCTGGCTTGTCTAGGAGGAAGCTTTGTGGGGATCACTGGCCTGCCTTTAGTTTTGGGAAGCAATGAAGGCTGGAACGGAGGGAAGTAGTACGCATCCGCAAGGGCAACAACATTCTTGTCTGGCTCCACAAGAACCACTTCAATAAATCGCATGCTATCCCTCACCTGATCATAAATTAAACCAAAGTTCTGCCAATGTGAGCAACAGCTTCCAAGAATGAACTGAGGGAAACTAAAATTAACCGAGTAAAGCAAAACCTCAGGGGTTTTCCCAGCTGCTCTCACAGTAGCCACAGCCACAGCTATTTCAGCAGCCATTAATGGATCCAGTGGGTGGCATGTCTGTGCCCTAGACATAACTGGGAAACAAATGAAACAACCAAAAAGATCAAAACTTTCAGCAGATCCAACAATAACATGCAAAACCCACCTCCAAATTCTCCTATAATTGATGATTATGATGATCAGATGGGAGGGGTTCGAAGTTTCGATCATTGATACCTGGAGTGGCGGCAGTGGTTTTGGTAGTAGCAGAAGGAGCAGAATCAGAGAGTGAATCGTGGATCAGGGTCGCCATCGCTGCTGCAGAACTCTTGCTGCTGATGGAATTCTCAGAAGCTGTTTGAGAAAGCGTCGCCTTTTCCTGAGCTGTGGCCATTCTGAAGGGTTAGAGAGTTCGCCGTATTCGCCGCCGTAGCTATGTTTCTCACCACCACTATAGTATTTCGCTGACATACAGCAAAAATTTGGGATTTCTCTTCTCTTCCGGAGAAGTTCGTTCCTCCTCTACTTCTCTTCTCGGTTTTCTTTTTCCACTTGGATTGATGATCGCTTTAGACGGGCCGCTATAACAGAGAGACGGGAGTGGGAGGGTCTCTCTCCAGAGGAGGAATTCTTCCGTACAGCCGGCGCACATCCTACGTGGTGCACCTATCCAGTCAATGATTTACACGTGTCCAATTATTTCATATTAGAATTTTTGTGGAATAAAAATTCTTATTTCTACGCCCAAGGTCTGGTCCATGGCAAGGAATTTCTGAGTAATAATCGCCTCTCCCACAGTCCACAGATGGTCTTTGAGCCAAATTGTTAGAGTTAGGCTTAGATCACATCTTCTACACAGTTTGTATATATTTAGCTAAAATCACCGTCCATATGGAATCCTTCTAGCAACAATGGTGGCAATATAGGTGAGTTTAGTGGTTCGTAGAGGGTAGTCTTATCGATTTCCAACAATGTGTACGTTTTCACATGAGAATTTATTATTTCCATGTTTTTTGAGGATATTCGGAATAATGGAGTCAGAATACACATCGAGACTTTGTTGCTATCTTTCGCCGCACACTATCCATATGTAATCAGGTACAATAGAAAATCAGGCACATGAGAATTTATTATTTCCATCTTTTTTAGGATATTCGGAATAATGGAGTCAGAATACACATCGAGACTTTGTTGCTATCTTTCGCCGCACACTATCCATATATAATCAGGCACTGATAGAAAATTATATGGCGTGATGAAAAATTAACTCATCCTAAATGCACAACTAAGTTAGGTTCATGAAAAATTTTAATTGGTTGGATTGACATGATAAATCAGCGCTAGAAAATACCCGTCTGGCCGCTAGTTTCCAATACACAATACAATAAAAAAAGAACAAGCAGATAATTATCATAAACTATCACACAACTTATCAAAAATAATCACTAAATAAAGAGGGAAAATGACTTATGGAAAGATCCACTTGTCTGGGAAGAGTAGTGCTAGTGGAAGAGGACAAATGAAATATTGGCATGGGCGTGGGAAAATGACTTATAGTAAGACGCACTTGTATGAAATAGATAGATAGTGACACATATTTTTTTTTCCTATAGATATGTTAAAATGAAATATGAAAATGTGAATATTACATTATTTTTATAGATCAAAATGAAGAAGAGAAAGAAAAAGTGTTCATGTCAATCAGATATTGAATTAATGATGAAAAGACTTGTATTGTCATAATATGGATAGTTCTAATTGTATTTAGAAATAAAACGAAACATGTTTTGGTTCTCTTTAATTTGGATTATTTTATTTGGTCAAGGTAATTTTTTAGCATTTTTTTTGTTCTCTTTAATACGATATAACACCATGCATAACTACACATTTGTCGAAAACTCAATGTCTTATAGATAGAGCCGACCCGAAACCATGTTCTGAAAGCAAAAATTAGCCCAATTTATTTTGGGTTAATACCCTAGGTTGGCACGAAGTTTAGCATAAGTGTTAGTCCTGGCCTTATTTTTCAAATAAGATATTTATGGCCTACTTTTGAAATTATTAGACAGATTTGGCCCGAAACTCATGTTGACTATTAATATTAACGGTCAAACATATGTTCAGTCAATGACTCAGTATCTAGTGCTAAGGTGGCATCCATGTCACTTATTAATTAAAAATTAAAAATTAATTTAAATAAATAAAATCCCTCAATCTTCTGTTCCAAATCATCTTCCAATCGGCCTCCCAAGTCTCACCTGTCCAGCTCCGCTCTCGTGACATCCTTCCTCAGAAAAACCCATTGTCTTCCAATCGAACTCCCAACTGCCCAGCTCCGCTCTCGCCACTTCCTCCAAAACCTTGATGACTGAACCTTCATCATCTTCCACTCTCTATGGCTTCGTCCCCTCGGGCGCTGGGAATTGATCGAGACAGAATCTAGATCCAGCGATTAGGGATGGCAATGGTTCGGGTTGGGTCGGGTTTTGCCAAACCCAAACCCATGGGTTTATCCGTGAAAAAAAATCCGGGGTAAAACCCACTGGGTTTCAAAAACTCAAACCCAACCCAACCCGCTGGGCATTCGCGGGTTCATGACCCACGGGTTTTTGTCGTAAAAAATTACAATAACAAGTTCCTATCAAAATTAAAACCAAATATCAATCTCTCAATACAAATCATCTATATATAAAACACCATTCTAGAAAATTCAAGCAAATCACAAATTAACTATACAAATTGTTCAACACCAATCTAGAAAACTCAAGAAAATTGAAGCAAATCACAAATTATCCATAAATAACATGATTAATTGAAAAATTCTTCCTTTCAATTAAGTATCTTCACTCTCCACTCGATAACATCAACTTCATTCTACACAATGAGAAAGAAAAAATTAGACATGTCTCCACAAACATAAATAAGATTAGTTGTTTAGAATATTAAATATACCAAAAAAATTAATTATATGGGTGTGGGCGGGTACCCATGGGTCGGGTTTACCTAAATCCAAACCCAACCCAACCCGATGAATAGTGAACGAGTTTAAACCCAAACCCGGCCCAAAACCCGTCAACACGGATTTTACCCGCGTTGACCGGGCTGGGTCAGGTGGGTACCCTTGGGTTCGGGTTTTGTTGCCATCCCTACCAGCGACGGGAGCGGATATGGTGACAACACCATATTTATTGTTATTGTAACAACATTAGTCTCCAACCAATAGGAAGCTAGGGTTGTGATGACTTTTTATTAGCTTAGTTGACCTAGTGTAAAATCAAAATAGGGGTATAATTGTCATTATGAAAAAATATGTTTAAATAATAATAATAGTAAAATATAAAATATTTTTTTTTATTTTCTGCCCAAAATTTTGGTCGTCGAAATTCTGCCACCGGCCGCCGGAAACCGGTCTTCGGTCACCGGAATATGCTTTTTGTCGCTGGAATATGCTCACCGTCGCCGGAATATGCTCATTGTGGTCGGAATATGCTTACTGGCGTCGGAATCTAGTGATCGGGGCCGGAATATGTCTATCGGCGTCGGAATCCGGTCACTGACGGTCATCGGAGTTTGGTCAACAATTGTCCTTGACCGGTCAACGGTCTTCGTTGACCGGTCAACGGTCAATGATCACCGGATGTTATGGTTAGCATTGTGAGATTTATGGTTTGGTTTCTCATATTTTTTATGCCTTTTGTGGTTTGCTTTATCGTGTTTCTGGTTTGCATTGAGAAGTTTCTGGTTTGCTTTCAAAAACTTTGTGGTTTGCATTGTGAGGTTTCTTGTTTGTTTTAATATATTTGTGGTTTGCATTAGGACGTTTATGGTTTGCTTTTTTGGGGTTTGATTTACTGTGTTTGTGGTTTGCATTAGGAGGTTTCTGGTGTGCTTCGCAAATGTTGTGGTTTGCTTTGTGAAGTTTGTGGTTTGTTTTTGGAGATTTGTCTTATGCATTCGGAGGTTTCTGGTTTGCATTAGGAGGTTTCTGGTTTATTTTATTGCATTTGTGGTTTGCATTAGGAGGTGTTTGGTGTGTTTTAGAAATAGTTGTGGTTTGCTTTGTGGTGTTTTTAGTATGTTTTAGGCAATTTATAGTCTGCATTAGCCGGTATGCTTTCGAAATAATTGTGGTATGCTTTTGTGATATTTGTGGTATGTTTTATAAGATTTATGGTGTGCATTCCAAAACTTTTGATGTGCGTGAACTTGAAACTACCAAAACATGTAATTAATCATGATAGTAATAAAATCAGATAGCGTATAAAAGGAAAGTGAGGACTGAGGATCGTAATTGATTTGGTTACCTTTAATTTCAATTTAATTTTCGGGAATTGAAATGGAACGAGGTTAACATAAAGCTAGAACGGGATCGTAACCGTTCCAACTAAGGAATAGGCGTAAGCCGATATTGAATCAAACAAAGCTTTCTCAGCCTTTGAGTGTACGTGATGACATATCAATAACAACACTACATGAACGCAATACTCGAGGTTATAGATCATACAAAATACTGAAATTAAGTACGCGATTCTCATCCTTCAAATCCGAATTCCATGGCCACTCACTACACAACCCAAAAAGTCGGCTAACAAACTCCACTAACTTCAGCACTATGTCACCGATCTGTTTGCAATTTGCAGACTCAGCAGTCGGCAAACCAGGATCAGGATTCAACAGGCTTACTAAACAAACTAATTGACCAATTTGACAACTTAACCAAAGGACACGGCAACAACATACAGGCTAAACTTGGAAATTCAAATGCTTGACGTTCGACAAAACGGAACGATAAGTATATTCATCGGCAGCTTCAGCTGTGTGATGTTCTCACTGCTCGCGTCGAACGTGGTGAACAGGAAAAAAGGATCGCCGTTGTGGGACCGTACATGCGGCGGAGGAGGAACGACGAGGGAGAACTCGGTCCGTGTTACGAATCTGTCGGAGGACACGCGGGAGGAGGACCTGCGCGAGCTGTTCGACTCGTTCGGTCCCGTGAGCAGGGTCTATGTGGCTTTGGATCGGAAGACAGGTGCGAGCAGGGGTTTTGGCTTCGTGAATTTTGTGAGCAGGGAGGATGGGGAGAGGGCGATTAAGAAGGTGAATGGGTATGGATATGATAACCTGATTCTTCGAGATGGAGAGAGGGCGGCTGCCGGCTAGGAATTGAATTTTTTATTTATTTTGATTTTGTTACTTTTTGTGAGTTTCTGTTTTTTACCCTTGTTGTTATGCTATCCGGGCCCACCCTTCCTCGTCCCTTCCAACTCCACCGCTGCAACAGTCGTCGTTACACAGGTGGTATGGTGGAAGTCAATCGCCGTTACAGAGACCCCAACTGCAACAATAAAAAAAGCTCGATGAAGCGATCCCCCAACTGCAGAATGATAGTTGATGCTGGACATATGATTGATGAAACAAAAAAAAAACATAATTTTATTAATTAAAAGAGTAAAGCAAACACAACTAAAAAAAAAAAAACAATGACTCAATTAAAAACGAGTCAGTTGTTTATGGGTGGCTTGGATTTGCTTGTACAAGCTGAAAGGCCAGGATTTACGGGAGTATGGTGGTATTTCTGGCTCATGGAACTGGAAGAGAATCCTGAAAGTGAGGCACAAGGTGCGAGGTCGAATACTGCATGTATCACAAGGCATATATGGCTCCTCCTAATGAAGCATGGTTCTTTATGGGTGGCTTGGATTTGCTTGTACAAGCTGAAAGGCCAGGATTTATGGGAGTATGGTGGTATTTCTGGCTCATGGAACTGGAAGAGAATCCTGAAAGTGAGGCACAAGGTGCGAGGTCATTTTGATCAGCAGGGCCAACAAGTTTTTTGGGATCAGGAAAGAATGGAAAAATTCTCTATAAAACGAATTTGGTATACTCTAAGACCTAGAAGGCAGGAAGTGGATTGGTTTAATCTGCTATGGCAGGGGAGTTCAATACCTAGAAACAGATTCATAACATGGCTTATTCTAAGCAAAGCAGTTTCAACAAAGGAGAAGATGGCAAAATGGGGTTATTCAGGTAGCCTGGGATGTGTTTTTTTTTAATTGTCAGCTTGAAACAATTGACCATTTGTTTGCTGAATGTGGGTTATACAGGAGCCTGAAGGGTGAGCTGTATGGTAGCAGGTCTGTTGTCTCTTCTTCTTTGAGTAGCGAGATTTGCTGGGTGAAACAGAAATTTGGTTCTAAATCTGTTGATTCTCAAGCTGGGAAGGCTTTGTGGCAGAGCCTTGTAAGTTTGATTTGGCGAGAGAGGTGTAGTAGAGTTTTTACATGAGTGTGCAGGGATAGAGCAGTTTTGTGCAAGATTGTTAGAGAGGAGGTAGTCGTGCTTTTTGGTAGTCAAGTCTTTGATTCATTTGTATAGAATTTTATGAACTTGATCAATCCTAACTAGCAAGGATGTTGCTAGTACTCCTTTTTTGATGGAATGAGAACAACCCGATTCATAAAAAAAAAAGAGTCAGTTCACCAAAGTAACCAAAATAGGTGACGAAAACTCAATTAAAGCGAAGAGTAGAAGGTTTTTAAAAGAATCAAATATCATATACTAAATGAAGAAGGATCATTAGAAGAACATGATTTAGCTTTGAATTCTTGAGTCTAAAAAATTGGTGCAGTTGCTAACTATGCATAATAAGTATATGTTAGAAACAATCGTTTTCTCATCTTTTCTTTTTACCAATGCTCCAAATGAAATGAGAGATAGTTGCTACAAATAATTAGGAAATAAAAAAAATCTTGTTTATTGATGAAGGAAGGTAGTGAGTAGTCCATTCCTTATCGTCCTAGATGCAAAACCTCTAAGGATTACCTAGGTGATTTGTTGGTATTTGCAGAAGGGACATAGCATAGATGGAACTAAGAGAATGTTGAAAGAGTTCTGCTGTTTATCTTGTCTACCATGTGATCCAATAAAGAGTCAATTATTTTGTGGTGGGCTGTCTAATTTTTTAATTTTATCCAAAATAAGTCCAGGGCATGGCCGGACAACAAAATACAAAACATATAATGATAAAGAACGATAATCCATATGAAACCGAATTCTTGATGAAAGAGCCTGTTATGCCACAAAGTGGGCAACTCTGAAGAAAGTACTAAAGAGCGAAAAGACACGAAACTGACAAGAAGGACAGGAAGAGAGAGAAAACTTCCCTGAAAGTGGCTCCTGCTCCGGGAAGACTTCCTCGATGTAGGATCCATGTTGACCGGTTGAGAAATCCAGCAATATGTAACAATTAATACATTAGGAGTAAATCACCCCCCCCCCCCCCCACACACACACTAAGAGCAAGTAATTTTTATATGAGTATCGGTAATACCGTAATAGAATTTACCAAAATAAAAATAAAATGAAATGAAATAGTTTTATCACCTGAGATGCCGACCGAGTAAGTTGCATATCCTTAAAGATTCTTTGACATGATTAAATAAATCATGTAAGATATAAACTCGAAACTTGCTTTCCATCATAGATTGTGGAGGTGCACGACCATACCTTCACAACACTAAAATTTTCTTGCCAAGAGACCTACTACAAAGGCACCACTATGGTGCTAAAAATCTCTTACCGATCGAAGAGATTAAAGTCTGTCATGAGACATAGTCGGAATTCACTGAAAACACAACACCATTGATGTGATTACAACCTGAAGAAGGTGAGACAATTCTGAAATTACAAAAAAAAAGGTAAAAGGAAAACGATGGTTGAAACTAAACTTTGGCATAGTGATGCTCTAAAACACAAGCACGGCCGTGTCGATCCTCTGCTCTGCCCGTGTGTGCTCTCGGCAAAACTCGCACGGCCAGGCCATTACTTCACACGGTCGTGTGATCATCAGGGCAGCCCGTGTGACCTCCTTTGTGACTTGTCTCGCACCCGATCTTCGCCCAATCGACCCCGAACTCGCTCCTAAACCTTCATTCACTTGCCAGGATCTGAAATATCACAAACAAGCACAACCTAGCGTGAAATCGGTCTAAAACACGAGAAACCACCTCTCAAACGGTGTAAGAACAGGGGTGAAAACATGTGTAACTAACGGTCTATCACATAGTGAATATTTAATACATCTAGTAATTATCCGTAGGCAATTATCCCCTACGATAATAAAAAATTAAATTAAAGAGGTGGAGGTTAAAGAAAGAAGTCTCTAGATTGTGGAGGTGCACGACCATATCTGAGAAGCCGACCGAGTAAGTTGCATATCCTTAAAGATTCTTTGACATGATTAAATAAATCATGTAAGATATAAACTCGAAACTTGCTTTCCATCATAGATTGTGGAGGTGCACGACCATACCTTCACAACACTAAAATTTTCCTGCCAAGAGACCTACTACAAAGGCACCACTATGGTGCTAAAAATCTCTAACCGATCGAAGAGATTAAAGTCTGTCATGAGACATAGTCGGAATTCATCGAAAACACAACACCATTGATGTGATTACAACCTGAAGAAGGTGAGATAATTCTGAAATTACAAAAAAAAAGGTAAAAGGAAAACGATGGTTGAAACTAAACTTTGGCATAGTGAATAATTAATACATCTACTTATTATCCGTAGGCAATTATCCCTACGATAATAAAAAAATTAAATTAAAGAGGTGGAGGTTAAAGAAAGAAGTCTCTAGAAAGAGAAATAAATTTAAAAATAAGTTAATGAAAAAAGATAAAAGTAAAACTAAGAAACAATGATTTAAACTTAATTAAAGGTTATTAACGCAGCTAATAAAACCATTAGAAACTATTGTAATTAAATTTATTAAATTAATTAAAAAGTTCTCGAATGCAATGCTAACTCTACGCGATTAGGCTCTTGAAATTACGCCATGAACTACTCCGAATTGTTAAAGCATCTCCGTTAACGGCAATCCCGCATGCACAAGGCAACCATTGCTAGAACTGAATCGTGTCCCATTGCCGGTTTAGACTGAACTAGTCGGGGGAAGAAGCATCTTTGATTTTATAGGAGTCATGAGGATGAAGTCTGTATTTGGAAATCCTGAAACCATATTAAAGACAAAAGGGAAACTAAACAAAAATAAATTTGAACATAGCAGTTGTCGTTGGAGATATTTTCGCTGTCGAGGCTGAGGGCGATCCTGGAATAAGTGATATGAGATGGTAACAGATGATGGAAGGTCCACCACAGGAGACCAAAGAGAGCAGTAAGCCTTCTCTACAGTACGCGAAGAATTCCAAATTCCACCCAAGCCTCTTTCTTTTCAAATGATCATTAATAGATGAGACTAAACTCAACAAAAGTTAAAGCAGAAAGAAATTAAAACAAATGGTATGATGCATTTTTTTGTAGTAAGAATAAGAAAGAGATAGAACTAATATCCATCGAATCAATGTCGAGCTGTTGGCGAATAGAGATTGATGGAGATTGATGGTCGGCAATCGACTCGACATTATGTTTAGCGTTGAACTTTTGAGGAAGGATGATTGGTGTCTGGTGACTGAGGAGTAGGGATGGCAATGGGCGGGTTTTCCTAAACCATCCACATCCCCGCTTTCAAATATCTATACCCATACCCGCCCCATACCCATGCGGGTGAAGGGTTTGCAAACCCATCCCCATACCCATCGGTTTCGGGTACCCATGGGTAATACCCGCCCCGTACATCCAATATTATAATACCGAATATTTACATGTAGATTTTCAATTATAACATTAAATGCAACTGCTATATCATGAAGCCGACAAAGAGACAATCATTTTTAATACGATTCAAAATATTTTATCCTAAAGCGTCCATTAATCCATATCAGAGTAGAATACAATGTCATTCAAATCATTATTCTCTATACTAATACATCTATTAAGTAATAATTAACTAACATAATTTTGTTAAAAGGAGAAAAAGTGAAAGAGGAAGGGAAAATTGAGAGAAAGAAGTTATATTTTGATTTGGGTGGCCACTCAATTGCATTTCTACTATATATTTTTCTTGAGTTATACTCACTATTATTGATAGGTTGCAAAAATGAAGAAATATCTTTGGTGAGACGGGTATGAGTATGGGTATGGGGCGGGAGAGGCTAAAACCATACCCGCCCCATACCCATCAAAATTTTTGCAGGTTTTACCCATACCCTCCCCATACCCGGTCAATGCGGGGATTCCCCGCGTTGACTGGGTCGGAGCACGGTCGGATACCCATGGGCATGGGTTTGATTGTCATCTCTAGTGAGGAGTGAGAAGTGCCAGAGTTAGGGATGAACTTTCGCAGGAAGGGTGACTGGTAAGTGAGGAGTGCTGGAGTTAGCAGAGAATTTTCGAAGGAAGGGTGAGAGTTAGAGATGAACTTTCGAAGGTATGGTTACTAGTGAGTGAGGGGTGCCGGAGGTGTGTGTGGATTGTGCCTTAGTGCCTTTTTTTTGTTCTCTTTAATACGATATAACACTATGCATAACTACACAATCATTCAATATGCTGTATCATATTTGTTGAAAACTCAATGTTGTATATACATAGCCGACCTGAAACCATGTTCTGAAAGCAAAATGCAGCCCAATTTTTTTTAATAAATTTATTAAAATGGAAAATAAAATACATAATGATAGTTGATGCTGGACATATTGTAACACCTTAGGCAAATCCCACATCGACAAAGCACGGGAGAGATCCCTGGTTCATAAGTAGGAAACTGGCCTTAACTGACAAGACGCGTTTTGGGGTGTAACAGAGGAGTTCTTGTAAGAACTCCGAAGTTAAACGTGCTCAGTATAGAGTACAACAAGGATGGGTGACCTTATGGGAAGTCACCTTGAATTATACCCCAAGTCGAAAACCGTGATGGTCGAGGCTCAAAGCGGACAATATCTTCGTCGGGAAAAGGTTCGGGATGTTACACATATGATGGATGAAATAAATAAAAACATATTTTATTAATTAAAAGAGTAAAGAAAACACAACAAAAAACAATACAATACAAAACAATAACTCAATTAAAAATGAGTTAGTTCACTAAATTAACCAAAATAGGTTGAAGAGAAGAGTATAATTTTTTTAAAAGAATCAAATATCATATACTAAAAGAAGAAGAATTATTAGAAGAACATGATTTCACTCTTGAATTCTTGAGTCTAAAAAATTGATGTGGTTGCTAACTATCTACAAAACACTATATAGCAATGTCAAAAAACAGGTTTTGCCACATCAGCCTTTGCTGAAATGGCGCACAGTGCGGAGGGTTTTTATTGTAAATTCCGAACATCTCCTCTTGCCGCACACCTCGGTGGGGCTTCCTCATCTTCCGCAATTCTTTTCTTCGCTCATATTGTTTTGATTTATTTTAATTAATATTTTGTTATTGACCAACCGGTGCATGTAAGAGGGGAGAGATCGCAGTTGCCTCTGTTAATTCTCTGTTTTTTTATGTCGAGAAGCCGAACCCTTTCTCTGCCTGTCTTCTGTCTCTTGGATTTTGTGGAGTGGAACCCGCTTCTGAGATATCTCCCTCCCCTTTCTCATCCGTCTCTTATCATGGCGAATTCGCAACGGGCCACCTTATATGTGATTCCACCGTCAACAATTTTATGGTGCATCAATTTGCCTCAAAGATTCAATTCGGTACCGCGCACCGTCTCTATTCTTGATTTCTTTCTCTTTGCTTCATTGTTTCTCTTGAACCAAATATACAAGCAAGCAAAATGACGAGAAAATCAGAAGGTTTTACCCTGCTCTACCAAAACACGCTTATAAATTGTATGTTTCTTAGCTTTCTATGTGTTTTCTCTCTCTTTCTTGCTATTGATGCTTGCGTGACTATTTTTTATTATCTTATAATTGTATGTTTGTTATCTGAATATTACTTAGCTTTACATTATTACTTTATTAGTCATTAGTTTTTTTTTATATATGTTGGTTATTCATACTTGGGTCAATTAAAATCTATTACTCGCATTGTGTACAAATAGTGTAGAATTTTATTTTGTGACACTATAACCATATTCGATATTTTCACAATCGAAATAGTTGGATTTGTTATTTATAATTTTCAAGGATTATTATTGTGAAGTAACTTAATAGAGTATGAATTAAATTATATATGAGAGAAAACTTTATTATAAACTTAGTTAAGCCACATATTGACCTAAACTGAGGGTTATGATTGTTCTTTTGAGTTTGAGGAACATTATATTTTTATACCATTTTTTATTCAATGTTGTTTATGTTTCATGGTCTCTAGGTGTTTGGTATTGGAAGAAATAGGAGTGTTCAGTCCTAATTTGAGCCTAATATACGTTCATCTTATGGAAGTAGACATATTTTATGTCAAAATATTTGAACACTCAACTTGATAGGTGATTTTATTCAGAAGTTTATAAAAAATATGGTCGAGATTAAAAATACAACAATTTTAGCTGCAAAGAAGTTTATAAAATAGACCTCATTGCTCATGACAACTGATAATGGTCATTTTATTATGAAGTCACACGTTGACGACTATCTTAAAAATTTTTATTAAATGCACGATGAGCAACACTACTAAGAACTTACGTGATATTGCTATTGGAAGATTCAAGTATTTATGATAAAAGAGCCGGTGGGGTAAAAGACCTAAGCCTCCATGGAACAAATCATATCATTAAACCCTTCGAGCATATCGCTTCAATCCCAACTTTAGCCAATAGCGGCCCTTCATCTACCTGCATACGGGATGAGAATCTATCTAAGGTTAAAGAGCTGAGTCTAGCGAATGAAAGAGTGTGTCGGGATGATAAGTTGGATATGCTTTTCAGTAATGTTGGGGCGTAGTGGGGAAGTTAGTTGTGGACATTGCAGCAGCTTGCTGGAGTTCGCCTGAGAAGATCAGAATTAGGGGTTAACTGCAATAGCTTGGAGAAATATAATCCACCGCATATAATCCACCACAAAGGGTCTAATGCGTTCAATCTCTGCAAAATGTTTACTCGGGTTCTTTATGCCCTAACGTGATCAATCTCTACAAAATATTTACTCGACATTTTTGGATGCTACTTGAATTTCGCTCGGGCGTTGGCAAAAAAACATCTCTAAAAATGTTTTCCTAGGATTAATGCCCTCTCCATATAAGAAGCAAAACACTCCATCACATACAATCCTTTCTTCTGCAGGAGACTTTCATGAAATGAAAACAGACGACCAAAATGACTACAAGATTTCAAATGCCAAGATAAAACTCCCCCGGCCAATAGGTTCGGCCAATAGGTCAGGCCCTATGCTAGTTTACAATAAGTATATGTTATAAATTAATCGCTTTCTCATCTTTCTTTTTTACCATTGCCCCAAATGAAACGAGAGATAGTTGCTGTAAAAAATTAGGCAATAAAATATTTTTTCTTATTTAATGATGAAGGGAGGGAGTGATTAGTCCATTCCTTATTGTCCTAGATGCAAAACCTCAAGGGATTATCTAGGTGATTTGTTGGTATTTACAGAAGGGACATAGCATGCATAGATGAAACTAAGAAAATGCTGAAAGAGTTCTTTTGTTTATCTTGTCAGCCATGCAATCCAATGAAGAGTCAATTATTTTGTGGTGGGTTGTCTAATTCTTATTTTTTATCCAAGATAAGCGGGATGAGTTAGGGTAGATACTAGTTTTTTTTTTGATTGATTGGAGGCGCAAGCCAAGAAAAAGAAGAAAGGGGTTACAGGTGAGTCTGGGGAGTTTGGACAACACTCCGAGGTAAAACAACACCTCTCTCATCGTCCTGCAATATGGGTCTCAAGGGGGCCGGCGGGTCAACCAGTTTATACATACCATGGGGATAGACGAGAGCGTGCTTCGAGAGCCAGTCCGCGACTCTATTCCCTTCACGGTAAGTATGAACTATGTTGACCAACCAGTCCTGCGCCACCAACCTGCGAATAGATCTCAGAAGAGAGGCCAAAGGGTGGACATGGTCCACTCGATGCTGAATCAAATCAATAGCTAGCCGGGAATCGGACTCAACAATTAGAAGTCTGAGATCTCTCCTCCAAGCCATCTCGAGTCCTTGCTTGATTGCCCACAACTCGGCGCAGGCCGCCGAGCAGTCCCCAATGGAATAGCAGAAACCACCCAACCACCGCCGTTGATCATCTCTGAAGACTCCTCCTGCTGCGGCTTTCCCAGGGTTCCCTTGGGAGGCCCAGTCAACGTTAAGCTTACACCAGCCTCTAGGTGGCGCCACCCATCCTATATCGGTCACGACACGATTCGACTTAAAACTTCCTCGAAGCAACAAAGGAGAGGGAGCCATCCATGCCGAATGCCAGATGTGAACCTTGAGATGGATAGCATGCCGCAAAGAAGGGGGGGAAAGTAACTTATTACCACCACTGAAAGCGCCCTCGTTCCTGTTCTTCCAAATCGTCCACAGGGCAATGCTGAAGCTTGATGCCCACGGGACTCCGTTCCTGTCCGCCTCCATGTTGAGAATGTTCGTGCTAACCCAGTGATCGAGGTCTGCTGACAGAAAATTTACCAAACTGTTTGCCGGCACCTCTCGTGTCCAGAAGAAGAGGGAAGTAGGACAGTCCCTCAGAATGTGTAGCTCAGTCTCCGGCACGTTATTGCAGTTTGGGCAGAACGGATCAGGAGCAATGTGTCTGTCAAACCGTCTTTTGTTGGTATTGATGCGATGAAGCAGAACCAACCAGACGAAATGTCTAACGCGCTCTGGGACTTGAAGATTCCACACCGTGAAATCCCCGGTAGAGGTGGGCTGCCAACAGAGTCTATCCTCCTCCGCAGAGATTATATCCGTAGCAATTGCTGTGACCTTGTCCATGGCATAAGAAGGCAGCCATTGTTGGAGAAGATCCACGCGCCAGTGACCTGTCTCACTAATGTAAGCTGCTACTGGTTTGTGAACCTCATCCGCCGGGATTGGCACCACTGTGATTTCCTTCAAGGGTACCTGCATAGCCCAAATGTCAGTCCAAAACTTAGTGTTCTTTCCATTCGAAATGTTCCAAGCGCATCCTTTCCTCAGAATAGGAGTAGCTTTGGAAATGCTTTTCCAAGTAAAGGAACTTCCCTGATTGGCTTCGAGGAGAGAAATTCCTTCTCTGTTCCGCCCATACTTCCCTCGCACGACCTGAGTCCAAATCGTGTCTTTCTCTTGCAGCACCCTCCATCCACTTTTTCCAAGAGCGCAAGATTGGAGTGACGCAGGGAGCGGAGACCAGCTCCTCCATTCTCCTTTGGCTCGAGAAGCTTCTTCCATCCCACAAGGTGGGATTGTTTCTTGTCCACCGTGTCTCCCCAAATGAAGCTCCTGTTGATCTTGTCAATATACTTGCAAACTGAGGCAGGGAGCATCTCTGTCTGCATGGAATAAACAGGAATGGAGGTAGAAACTGAACGCACAACAGTCAACCGAGCAGCGAGGGAGAGTTTCTTAACTTTCCAGGAGGATAACTTCTTCTGGATTTTCAGAACCAGCTCCCTGTACCGGTCCTTGGTGACTCTGGAATTAATGGCCATGACTCCCAAGTATCTCCCGAGATCCGAGGTAAGAGGAATCCCTGCGCGGTTGCTGTAGGCGGCAGCCGTATCTCTTGGCACATTTGGCGAGACAAAAATCAAGGATTTCTGGAGGTTCACTCGTTGCCCGGAGCTAATACAGAAATCCTCCAAACACTTCTTGATCGTCGTTATCTGGCCAAGTCCCGCCTCTGCAAAAAGCATCAGATCATCTGCAAAAAAGAGATGGGAGAGTTTCGGGCCACCAGGGGAAAGCGTCAGAGGTTTCCAGTGCTTCTCCTCAATGGCCAGGTCAATCCTGTGAGAAAGGTGTTCCATGCATAAAACAAAAAGGTACGGGGAAAGGGGGTCTCCCTGTCGGACGCCTCTACTGGGAGTGATCGTGTCTGAGAGCTCGCCATTCCAGGAGATGCGCATCTTGTTCTTTTCAACACAGAACATGATGCAGTTAATCCAAGAGCTGGGGAGTCGGATCTCCATCAAAGTGTCTCGGAGGAAGTCCCATCGGAGTCTATCGTAAGCCTTCTCCAGGTCAATCTTGATCACCACCCCTCCTTTTCTCCCTTTTCGCTTCCGGAGAGAATGCAGAATCTCTTGAACCACAATGATGTTGTCCGTCGTTTGCCGCCCCGGGATGAAGCTGCTTTGCCTTGGAGAAATCCACTTTCGCATAAGAGGCTTGAGACGTTGAGTCATAGCCTTGGTAATGGTCTTCAGGCTCACATTGTTGAGCGATATTGGCCTCAGTTGGGTCACCATCTCCGGCCTGTCTACTTTGGGTATGAGGACCAATGTAGACTCCGTGATTGGCTCTGCAAGCTGCCCTGTAGAAAAAAACTCCAAAGCCATATTAACCAAAGCCTTACCCACCGTTGCCCAGTTATTCTGATAGAATAGCGCATGAAAACCGTCCGGGGCAGGAGCTTGCAAGGGCTTCATCTCCATGATCGCCTAAAAAATATCTGCCGCCGTAAAGGGATGAAGGAGACAGAGCATCTCCTGCTGGGAGACCCTTGGAAAACGATTCCTAGGCAGAAGGTCAACGTACGGGGAAGAGTCCTGCAAAAACAGAAGCTGATAGAAGTCGAAAACATGCTTTGCAAGGGCTGCCGGATCCTGGATCCACTCCCCATTAACATCTTTAAGCATTTGAATTTTGTTTCTTCGTCGGCGGATGCTTGCTTGTTGATGGAAGTAGCCTGTGTTCCGATCGCCAAATTTCACCCAATGTTCTCTCGATCTTTGGTACCAGATCAGCTCCTCCTGCTCCATGACTTTATCGAGCTCCTTTTCAAGTTTAGTGAGCAGTTTAGCTAGACCGGGTTCGAACGCAACAGCAAGGCGATGCTGGATGCCTTTAATTCTATTCAGAAGCCTTCGTTTTTTATGAAACAGATTGCCCACTGAGTTCTTGCTCCACTCCTTGAGGTGATCTGCAAAGGCTTGCAAGGCTGTGTGCAACGGGCTGCCGGCATCCCAAGTACCTGTCAGAAACGAGGCGAAATCATCATGAGCTAACCAGGAGGCCTCAAAGCGAAAAGGGCGAGAAGGAGAGTTGGTGGGGCTTCGCCCCCCAATTGAGGTGAGGATAGGGGAATGATCCGATTGCAGACGCGGAAGATGGATCACAGTAGAGTTCGGAAAACACTCATTCCAAGTGGTGTTGCAAAGACTCCTATCAATCCTGCTAGCTTTAGAATTGCTCGCAGTGTCTCCTCTTGACCAGGTGAAACGAGGACCTGAAAAACCCAAATCAATAAGGTTAGCATGATCGATGAAATTGTTAAAGATTCGGCAGCGACGAGCCGTGCTAGTCGTGGCGAGTCCCGACTTCTCATTCAAGGATCTGAAGGCATTAAAATCCCCAGTTAACAACCACGGCAGAGAGATCGTGGAGCTGAAGGTAATGAGGGAATTCCACAGACTCGGCTGCAGCTGATAATTAGGAGAAGCATAGATTGCGGTAAGCAGGAAACTCGAGAGATTGGCGGAAGTAATCTTAGCCGTGAGATGCTGAAAGCAAGCAGAGGTAATCTCCACGTCAAAAGCTTTCTTGTCCCAGTACAACCAAATTCCACCACTTCTACCGTTCTCATCAACTCGAGCAATGTCCGGGTATCCAAGCTTCTCGCAGACCAGGTCGGCAGTCGTGCCACTAATTTGGGGCTCCAGAAGAATGAGGATGTCTGGCTTGTGCTGATTGGTAAGAAGCTTCAGTGCTCGAAGAAAAGCCCTGCTGCCTGCACCGCCCACATTCCAGGACATGATATTAAAATTGGGTGTATCAACCATAACAAAAAAACAGCAAAGAAAGCGAGGGAAGGAGAAGGAGAAAAGAGAGGCGGTCAGGGGTCCTTCGCTAGAGTGTTGCTATCCAAGCTGGGCATCCGCGTAGCGCCGGTCGGAGCGGTGGTCTCCGTCGGGACTTTTTCGTGGGCCGTTGATTGGCTCCTCGTAGTCAAGCTCCAGGCTTCAATTTCTTGGAGGGTTAAAGAGACAAGTTTGTCTCGTGGTTTATTCTTCTTGTCTTTCTTGGGTGACCAAATCTGCAAAGCCTTGGTCGTCGTTGCCACCGAGATCCCCTGCTTGGTTTGACCAGATGAGTTCCTCTTCTTTTTGATGCGCAGACTGAAAAGGGGTGCATCAGGGTCAAATTTCCGCTGGGGAGGGGGCTCAGGGCAAGGGACGTCAACAATAGTAACTGATTTTCCATCCGGCCCGTAAACTGTTCGGGTCTTGATTCCTTCTAGGCTTGGCCCGCTTCCGGAAGCTTTGTTTGTTTTGGTGGGCATCTCACTTTGTGCATAAGAGGATGAAGGATCCAAAGAAAGGAGTCCAGCAGAAGCTTGTGGGCCAGGCCCCAAAAGGCCTTTTTCATTTAATTGGCGTGAAGGGGATGGGGAGTTCTGACTTGGGCTAGCCGTTGGAGCTGGGGCTGGCGTGCTCATCGTAGCCTTCTTTTTCTTCTCTGTTTTTTCCATATTTGGCATTCCGATTGAAGAGGTTTCCGTGTGATTACTAGATTTGTTCGCCAGCTCCGTTGCCTTCGCAGAAACGTGATTAGGGCTGTTGTTCTTTCCTTTTCCGCTTGATTTGTTATTTCCCGAGGAAGGTAAGTTGGACCCTCCTTCCTTTTGTGACTGATTTTTCTTTCCCAATTTCGGTCCCTGAGAGTTTGCCTGATCTGTCGCCTGCTGTGTTGATTCTTTCCTTTCTGGTTTCCGGCTTTTTCGGGTGACTTGCATCTAGGGACCGAAACTCGCCGGCGCTTCTGTCTCCGACGCTGGCAGCCTTTGAGATCCGGCCGTCGAGTCTAAGCTTATCGCCGTCGGAGTCAGGTCACGACCGAGCTTGGGACAAACGGACTCTGCGTGACCAACAATCCCACATTCAAAGCAAACATGAGGAAGGTTCTCATAAACCACTTTCTGCCAGAACCCATCCAGCCTGACACGGGGCCGCAACGGCTTGGCCATGTCCAGTTCAATGGCTATTCTTGCAAACTTCCCTCTGTGACCATGTTCAGTATGATAATCCAGCTTGATTGTACGCCCAATCAGATTCCCAAGTGCGAACAAGACTTCCTTGTGGTAGAAATGCACTGGGAGGCGAGGAAACCGAACCCAAGCTGTGACCGTTCTTGGAATCGTATCTCCCACCCGAAAGGCCGGCGACCATTGATGAACGACTAAGTAATGGTCAAGAAGAACCCATGGCCCACCAGTAAGAGCTTTAAAATAGTCCTGATCATTGTCAAACGTTGCCAGAAAGACGTCGTCTTCCAAATCCATGATATCCATCTTGCCGACCGGTCGCCACATCCATCGTAATTGGGAGCAAAGGTAGGTGTAAGAAACTTTCCTACCCAGCAGACGGACCATCAGGGTCTTCTTCCATGGTGAGCAAAGGCGGGACTTGAGGACGTCAGAAACTATGAGTTCCGGTTCGCCTTGGAATGAGCTAGAAACCAGATCTTGTTCGCCTATGAACATCCATGGGGCAACCGATTTGGTTGCCACAGTCGTCTCGCCCGACAGGGATGCTTTGTAGGACACCGCAGGCTGAGTCGGATGACCCGATAGAGTCTTGTTTGGCGAAGGAACAGCCGGCGGTGTTAAGGAGGACATCGCTTGGGGATTCACCATCGCGCCGGCGAGGGTCGTGACCTGAAAGTTGTCATTTGGCTGCGGGGGACTAGCCTCCACCATCTCCATTTCCGGGGGCCGGACTGTCGGCGATAGGTTAGGGGATGGAGAAGCGTTGGGGAGAGTTTCCGGCGAGAGCATCGAGAGCGTTTCAAAAATCGATCTTCAAAATAAATGTTTTTCTCATCGATCTCAAGATACTAGTTTTTTAGTAACCATCATGGCAACCTACATCTATACTCTTAATTAGCTCTATTTATTCAATTTTCAAAACAATGGTCAAGATTAAATGAAGGATAATTTTGAAATAAAAATATTAACACATGAGATTATTACCTTTATTTATATTTTACTATCTCATTCCTCTCCTCAAACCCTAGAACATATCCATCTCTCTTCCCGGTGAAAAAATGCAGCTCTCTCTTTTCTCCCCTCACCTCTTCTGTCAGCCCATCCCTCCTTTCCACCGTCGGCCCTCCTCCCACTCTCCCCTCCACTCCACCGCCGCCACTCTACCCATCCCTCCCTTCCCCACCCCACCCCAGTCCTCTCCAGTCTCCACCTCGTCCCCTCCACACTCCACTATAGCCGCCCTTCTCCCTCTCCCCCAGTCCACTTCTCTCTCTCTCTCACTCCCCCCTCTCCCTCTCTCTCCCCCTCTCTCACTATTCGATGATGAGGAGCCGACAACTTTCAAGTGAATTTCAAATCTGGATATTTTTATTTTGGTACTGGTTCATTTATTTTGTTTTATGAAATAATATAGTTTTGTTTTTATAATGATAGTTTTTTCATAATGGTATTGATTTATTTATACAATGGTATTGTTTGGATTTCACAATAGTAGTGGTATTGGTTGATTTTGGTATTAGTTTGACTCTTGTAGTGGTATATATTATTTACTTGTGCAATGGTATTTGTGTTTTGTATAATGATAGTGTTTTTAATGGATTGGTATTGATTTATTGTTTTTTTGTTGTTGCATAGGTATTAGTTCGGCTAAATGAAATCAAGAAGATTGAGAAAAAGAAGGAAAAGAGATATGGCGGAAGATTGTGGAAGTGAGAGAAAGATAGAGAGAAAATTGTAGTTAACACATTTATGTAACTTCCTAAAATGTAATTTATTAAAACTAAAAATAATTAAATATTGTTTTTCATACCCAATTTGCCCTTAGTAACCATGTTGATTACTAATCCATAGTAATCACCGTAACCCCTCCCGGGATGAGTTAGGGTGGATACTAGTTTTTTAGTAACCATATAATGATAAAGATTGGTAATCCATATGCAACCGAATTCCTGATGAAAGAGCCTGTTATGCCACAAAGTGGGCAGCTCTGAGAAAACTCCAAGGAGCGAAAAGACACGAAACTGACACGAAGAGTAGGAAGAGAGAGAAAACTTCCTAGTAAGTGGCTCCTGCTCTAGGAAGACTTCCTCGATGTAGGATCCATGTTGACGAGTTGAGAAACCCAGTAATATGTAATAATTAATACATTATGAGTAAATCACACACCCCCACTAAGAGCAAGTAATTTTTATATGAGTATCGGTAATACCGTAATAGAATTTACCGAAATAAAAATAAAATGAAATGAAATAGTTCCATCATCGGAGAAGCCGACCGAGTTAGTTGCATATCTTTGAAGATTCTTTAACATGATTGAATAAATCATGTAAAATATAAATTCGAAACTTGTTTTCCATCATAGATTGTGAAGGTGCACGACCATACCAACAGAACAATAAAATTTTCCTGCCAAGAGACCAACCAATGTAGTCAAAATCGCGCTTTAAAACGTAAAATCTTACGATTTTACGTTACTAGGTCACTACAACGCTTCTACGCAAAATCTCAGTTTTTATAACTTATGTAGTTAAAAACTCCGCTTTAAAACTTAAAAACTTACGATTTTACGCTTCTAGATCACCAAACCGTTTCTACGTAGAAACTTGCTTTTGACTAGAGACCAGCTACAAAGGCACTACTATGGTGCTAAAAATCTCTAACCGATAGAAGAGATTAAAGTTTGTCACGAGACATAGTCGGAATTCACCGAAAACACAACACCTTTGATGTGATTACAATATGAAGAAGGTGAGCTAATTCTAAAATAAAAAATCTGGGTAAAAGGAAAAAGACGGTTGAAACTAAACTTTGCTAATAGTGAATAATTAATACACCTACTTATTATCTGTGGGCAATTATCCCCTACGATAGTAAAAACTTAAATTAAAGGGGTGGAGGTTAAAGAAATAAGTCTTTAGAAAGAGAAATGAATTTAAACATAAGTTAATGAAAAAGATAAAAATAAACTAAGAAATGGTGATTTAAACTTAATTAAAAGCTATTAACACAGTCAGTTAAACCATTAGAAAATATTGTAATTAAATTTAGGAAATTAATCAAAAGGTTATCGAATGCAATGCTAACTCTACGTGATTAGACTCTTGAAATTACGCCATGAACTACTCCGAATTGTTAAAGCATCTCTGTTAACAGCAATGCCTGCGCAAGGCAACCATTGCTAGAACTGAATGGTCTCCCATCGCCGGTTTGGACTTGACTAATCAGGGGAAGAAGTAGCTCTGATTTTACAAGAAGTAGTCTGTATTAGAAAATTTAGAAACCATATCAAAGACAAAGGGAAACTAAACAAAAAGAAATTTGAACGAAGCAGTTGCCGATGGAGATACTGTTGTCGTTGAGGCTGAGGGCGACCTTGGAATAAGTGATATGAAAGGGTTAATACCCTAAGTTGGCTTGAAGTTTAGCGTAAGTGACAATTCTGGCCTCAATTTTCAAATAAGACGCGTATAGCCTACTTTTGAAATTATTGAACAGATTTGACACGAGACTTGTGTTGACTGTTAATATTAACGGTCAAACATTTATTCCGTCAATGACTCAGCATTCAGTGCCGAAGTGGCAATGATGTGGATTCCATGTCATTTTTATTTCAATTCTTCAGTTCTTAAAAACTTAAAAAATAAAAATATATAATTGAAATATAAAACTCGTCAAAGCTCAACCTCAATAAAAAATTACAATCCCTAATTTTCTTTTGTCATTGGCAAAGAAGCAGCAAGAGGCAAGCAGGCCATAAGAGGAGAAGAAGAAGAATCCAAGCTATTCCAATTTCCCAAACCACCAGATCCCCCGATTCTCCTTCATCCATCAACAGGCGACTGGTAGCATTCAAATGAGCATGCGAAGAGAAGAGGCAAAGGAACATCGGCGGCGGCGGCGCGACTAGGCTCTAGTTGGAATAGGATAATCGAAGCAGAGGTCGAGGCGGCGGCGAGGAGAGATCTGGACGAGCTTTATCGCCTAGAGTTGCGCCCTCCTCTCCTGCACGTTACGGCAGCAGAGAAGTCGCGGGGCTCGATCCCTTTCATCGAGTAGCCGCAGGGGTCAAAGTTGACGATCGTGTGGCCGGAAATGATCTCGGAAATCCCCGACTGCTTCGTCATCTCCGGCGCTGGGGGGGGGGGGGGGGGGGGGGGGGGGGGGGGGGGGGGGTCTTTGAAGCTGCGGTGACTTCCTCTGACATGGTGCGGTGTGGCGCCGGCTAGACGCTGGGGAAGATGAAGCTGCCGCTGGTATTTAGATAAGGAGGCGACATTTAGATTAGGGTTTGGTTGGGGGTTTGGGGATTTTGGGATAAGAGGGGATTATTTTAATTAGTTAACTTGTTAATTTTAATTGAATTATAAAATTAAAATAATATTATTTAATAATGTGGCATGCCACATGAGCGGTATTTTGTCAAGTCACTAACGGAATAGTGTTTGACCTTCAATATTAATGATCAAAGAAAATTTTGGGCCAAATCTGTCCAATAATTTCAAAAATAGGCCATAAACGCCTTATTTGATAAATGGATCCAAAACTGTCATTTACGCTAAACTTTAGGTCAAACTAGGGTATTAACCCTTATATGAAATGGTAACACATCCACCATGGGAGATCAAATAGAGCTGTAAGCCTTCTCTATGGTACGCGAAGAGTTCCAGATTCCACCTAAGCCTCTTTCCTTTCTGTTGGGCATATGGCTCGGGTCCAGGCGCGCCAAGACGCCGGCGCGACGCCGCGCTCGCAAAGGGAGTACCCAAAGCCGCGCGTACGCGATAAGCTTAAGCGCCCGGAGGCCTCACGCTCGGACATGGACTCCAAACGACCGAACGACGGCGTTTCAACCGAGAGTTGACCAGGCCTAGCCTGCCTCGAAAACGACACTCTATCCCCCGGAGAGTGGTCACATCAGAGTACTAGGTACAATGATGGACAAGTCCTCTAGTACTAGGTAGGAGGATGGCCGAAAGTACTGACATGACAACAGTCTTGTCACCATGTAACTCACCCACCACCATGTAGCCTATAAATACGGCATTTACTCCGGTGGGTGAGGGGATCGCATTTTTCACTCTCTCACTAGTCTTACGAACAACTGCTTTCTCTCTCAAAGAATAACTCCATTTCTAGACCTCTTGTTGTTACTCTTCTCACCCTCTTTTCCGAGTTCACCTCCTACCCTCAGTTGGACACAAACAATTGGCGCCCACCGTGGGGCAGAAGTAGAGAAACAACAAGATCAAAATCCCCAATGGCAGAGCAAGATAACAGCATTCCCAACGAAGTAACCCCGATCAAAGCGATGACAAACTCAAGGTCATTCGCGGAAACGAGCAATCTCAACGCGGTCCTGATTGAAGAAGAAGAGCGGGAGCTGACGGCCAAGGAGGTCCGCCAACAGATGACCAAGCAGAACGAGGTCATCGCGGACATGCAAGCGAAAATGAACCAAGTAATCGCCCTGATGATGAGTAAGGAAACCGCCGCAACTACGTCAGCGCGTCAAACGACGACGCAACCACCACCCGCAGATTGCCAAACAGTCAGGCAAGTCAACCCGCCGGTGCGCGAGCAGGATCCGCCAGAGAGGGCGGATCTGACCTTCCTGGAACAGCACTTGCCCCGCTGTATCGCGCCCCGCCAAAAAGAGCATTGCACCAGCCACTGTACGCAGAAATTATGGCGGAGCATCTAAGCGGGACCCCCCACCATGCCCATGTACAACGGGACAACAGACCCCGAAGACCACGTCAGCAGCTTCTGCCTGCGCATGCAGCTACAGACGAACTCCAACGCGGCGTTATGCAGGACCTTTCCATCCACATTCTCGGGAATATGCCTGGACTGGTATAACCGCCTCCCCAACGGAATCATCCGCACCTTAAGGCGTTGATTGACCTCAAACAGAAGGACGTGGAGAGCCTGCAGGCATTCTACGCTAGATGGTCAAGAACCGCCATGGCAGTGCGCGATCTGACTCCGGAGACCGCAGCCCACCACCTCATGGAGGCGACCACCAACGCGGAGCTCAAGCGCGCGTTGGCAAAGAGACTCGTCATCTCTTCCTCGTAACTAGAAACCAAAATCGAGAAAGCCGTCACCCTAGAAGAAACCCTAGGAGCCGGATCGGTCTGCCGCTACGAGCCAACAAAACCTCCGCGAGAGGAACAGAGGCGACGAGAGCCACAACTCCCGCTCCCGCAGTACCATAGCGGGTATGGTAAGCAGCACGCTCCTCAGGATCCTCCACAACGAAGGCGTTCACCAGAGAGGCGCCCGCAAACGAGCTTCACCCCCCTCAACGAATCGGTAAAGAACATCTTCCACCTCATCAGGGAGAAGGGTTACCGCGTCAACTGGCCAGCGCCAATAAGAGCCCTAATGCACACGCGCGACCACAGAAAGCACTGCGACTTCCACCGAGAGCCAGGGCACCTGACCGAAGATTGCTTCAACCTTCGCGTAGAAATAGAGGGGCTCATTAGGAGAGGATATTTGGCGGAATACGTAAGCGGAGCGGAGGAGCGGAAAGACCAACAAGCCGCACCACCGCCACCTCCGCCCCAGGCAGACTACAACGAGACAACGGGATCCTACATCGTCCGTAAAGAAATAGGGGTTGTCACGATCGAGGGAGACAGGCCAAAGAAAAAGACAAAGCGAGACCCCGCGGTCGAATCTACAACGACAAGCGCTGCAGTAAAGTGCGATATGAGTTTCGGCAACTCAGAGCTCCCGCCCAGAATCACATCTGAAGAACCACTAACTATAACGGCGCTGGTGGCCGCTTGCAAGGTGCACCGTTTGCTCATAGACAGGGGGAGCGCCGTGGACGTCCTGTTCATGCGCACTTTGGACCAAATGGACGTAGACCCGAGTCTGATCCAATGGGCTCAAGGTAATTTGGTAGGATTCTCCGGCACGAGGGTCGCGGTAATCGGGGAGATCACCCTGCCAGTCGTACTCGGTGACGACGAGCCGCGCACGTCAAAGCAAGTGCAGTTTACCATCGTGGACTGCGATTCCCCACACAACGGCATCTTAGGCTGCCCGTTCCTCGCCATATTCATGGCGTTGGCGTCAACATGCCACCAAAAACTCAAATTCCCCACCAAGGCGGGAACCGGGGAATCGCGCGGCTCACAATGGTCCGAGGGAAACCAACGAATCCCACGCCCCATCACGCCACAAAGACAGACAAACATCATCGACATCCGCGCTGACGGCCCGCGCCCAAAGTCGATGGACTCCGACTTCGAGGTCGCGCTGAATCCGGAAGAACCAGGCAAAAAGGTGCGCATCTCTACCCATGTCCCTGGGGATATGGTCGAGCCGCTGGTAAAACTATTGCAGGAATACCAGGAGCTCTTCGCCTGGTGCACTGAAGACATGCCAGGAGTGCCAAGGCATGTGGCGCAACACTGCCTCGCGGTACCAGACACCGCGACGCCCTTTCAACAAACGCGACGCTCATT